AAATACACTTTTAGGGAAAAAGATAATTCGGAAGAAATTATTGTGTCAATATTAAAAAAAAACAATGCTAACGTTGGAGATATGGATAACTATTAATAAGTACAAAAGAAGTAGAAGCAATAGAGATTATATTTATACGAAAAATCGAACATAAGACAAGATCTGACAAAAGAAGAAACTACACCTACAAAGAGAACTTAAAAACAAAATCAACCAAAAAACAATACAAGGAGGTCAACTAAGATGGCACGACCATATAGCGGTAAGAGAATAACAAAAAAAAGTGTAAGAAACGCGGACAACAAAGACGAAATGAAGAGGTAAACCTAGAAAGAGATGAAATGAAGAAGTAAGAAAAGCGATGGAGAATATTATTTTTTATTAGATAACAATGAAAGAAATTGTACATATATGTACCTACATGTACATCAGAAGAAAATACACTTGATGTGTGAACTTATCCATGCTGGTTTAAAAAAATACATTAATATAGAATTCCAGAAACTATTTAGGTTACAAATTACAGATCTTAAATTGCAGAAAATCTATGCAAAATTTCAAATAATTACAATAGTTGTTTCTTGAGATATTCAACCTGTTCTATACTTTTACCTTAACGTGTATATTTTTATTTTTTGTTTATTAAAATTGTAATATTGAGTATTTGCTGCAAGTTTATTCGTATGCCCCTGTGAGTTACAAAAGTTACCGACAAAATTTAGTGCGTTTATGGCTTTCACTTTTTAAGTATTTTATAGTGGATCCTTCATAAAACTCGAGTAAGAGATGCGCAAAGGACCGTGTTGGAAAGTGCTTTTTTAATAATTCAATTTTAAAATTATTTTAGAAACATAGTTATTGTTCAATTACTACCAAACATGTATATACCTGGATTTATTCTTCGATTATTCTACTAGCAAATACTTGGATGAATACCTGAGTTACCATTTACCCAGAAATGTGCCGCTAGTGAAGACAAAATTATTTCGACAAACATATCTTAGTTAATTCGTACGATTCTGTAGCTTGTCCACAAAGGTATTCCATTTTTATAGCTCTGACAGTGGTAGCCATTAACAGACAATAGGATTAAATAGTAAAATATATAGATTTAGATAGTAAAATAAGCAAGACAGATTTTAAATAGGGTTAATAGGGGTGGCATCACTTAAATACAAATAAAACAATAAACTCGAATATAGTTGTCCAATTATACCTGGATGTTTTCAAATGCAAAATGGAGTGATGAAAGGGTAAATATTGAAAGACAAATATTTCAGCACGGCTTTAGATTTACTTGCCTCTTTGACAATTTGCCGACAGGTTGTATTTTCGTGTGTATCGGTTTTGCCTTCTGAGTGTTGTCTTTCTCATAGTCAAAAACATTTTGAAGGGTCTGTTCTTTTGAGATTTTAGGAAGGTACGATTGTATTATGAAGAAAATTATACAAAAACGGAGTTACTAGAAGTTTTAAAAACTCGAGAATTTCATAAACAATACAAAATAGACATAGTGGCTTAAGACCATGGGTTTGCAGTTGTTCGACTTCCACCGTATCATTGATTTTTATTCCTATAGAGACAACTGAAGAGTTTTTTTTCTTTTACCTAAAATAAGTAAACTTGTTACAATTCGCACTTAATACCACCCTCTGCTGGTATTAGAAAAGGTGTTTAAAAAAAGCAATTAAGTTATAAAAACACTAGCGTTTGGCGGCCAGTAGACTAAAATGCACAGCTACCTATATGTATTGTTACGTTGTTCGATAATTAAAATCGGGGTGGATAAAACTCAACAATTCTCAGTGACTTAAATTTACACGACTAATTACACATCGATTATGGACAAAATAATTCCGGCACAACTTGACTGGATTCTTTCGTTGACTGAATGAGTCGTTCCCGAAGATGGGCTCTATTTAAACCTACACGTTCCTTTCTAAATGAGTCGCGATCGAGGTCTTTCTGCAGTGTCCATCGCGACTTCCGCTCCCAAGCTTTTCTTTACTCGAACGCCGCTCAGCCGCCGTCACCCATCATCGCCATACATACTAAAAAGCCCTCGAGAAAACCCATAGGCGTCGTACTGGGGCGGCATATGGGTTTATTTCCTAACAGTATGCTCCCATGCAATAATATTCGTTTTCACGTTGTGTTAAAATTACATTTTCCCCAAATTATTTTATGAATATCTCAAGATCTTTTTAAATTTAAAATAATATTTTTCTGTATTCTAAATTCTGAAGTTACTTCGACTTTGCTATGATCACGCGCTATAAACTGCGCACAAAAATAATTCTATTTTTATAATTCCATTTTGCGGAGGCTGTCTCTTATTCCAGTAAACAAATACAAATCATTTTCTGTGTTAAAGTTTTTCAAGAGTTTCTTCTTTAAACTGTTGAACGAATTCTGTTTCGGTCGCTCATTCTCGTTTCTTAATAGGTAGGCAGGGATACGAAATTGTTATTTTTGTTAATAAGCATCTATATCTAAATCTATAGAAATATAAGAACATAATGGAGTAAATATAGCATTCGGAGGTACATGTGGCGTAGGAAGAAAAGGTGGGTACACCGCTCGCAGACGCACACGGGCTGTTGACGCCTCTTGACAAATAAGCGTTTCGGATAACTTGTTACACAATTTTTTATAAAATAAAATATGTTGTCTTTACTTTTTCATTTTTTAAGATGGCCAAAAAACACTTTTGTCTAGAATTCTTTGCATAGCACGTAACTATAATTTCTCGAACTAATATAGCAATTAAATCAAAAATATTTTCAAATAGATGTTTTAAAAGTAAGTCTGCTATTTCAGTATTTTCACGATTTTTTTTTTTGTAAAAATAACTTCAGAGGAAACTGTCAGCTGAAATCACATACCTGCCCTTTACCAATTTACCATTCAAAATCACCGCTTCCGTGCAGAATGATGAAATAATTTATGGGAATATGAGTCAGCCTTGGCAGTGTGAGAGAGAGAAGCTTTTGAATAAATACTGAGGTTTTTCGGTGTTATAAACAAAATAACGAACGGTAGAATGCTATACAAAATCAGGTGCTAAAAAAATGTGGTCTTTCAATAAATTTTTCTTCAGATAATAAAGTCGTATAACTGTGCTTTTCTTTAATGATCCTTTTATAATTAATCTTAGACTATATTGAACGGTGCTCTTATAAAGCTGTACACCTCTTGGAAAGTCGTAAAGAGACTATAAAGTTTTGACAGATATAAATCTAGAAGACTTCTGAGACGGAAAATAGGTTTACATGAGGCCCAGACAAAGAACTGTAAATGTCAAAACCAGACACCATTAGCTCTTTTAACATTCTTATTAGAGATTTAACTTATTAGGATTACCATGACTGAAGATTTTTAATTAATCATCCACACTCTTTTAACACGAAGCAGTCACTGGGAAAAAGTGTAAATTAATAGGCACTTGTTTGCGTGGTGTTTTGATATCCCTTGTTGGAATTATGGAAATTTAACAAGAACCATGACAGTGCTAACAATTAAAATAAACTTTATTAATTCAAGGAAACAAAAACTTTAAAATGATAAATACTTGACCACGTTAATTATTATATTTGCGAATAATGGATCGCTTTCATAAACTTGGTATACTTCCACTTTTTACCCTCCAATGTTATTCTTTATACACTTTAGTATTTTTCTAATGGAAGTAAAAGTATTTACTTATCCTCGTTTATAATTAACAAATTCTTTCTTCTTATATTTACTAAAAAAACACAATAGTTTCCTGTAAAGCCTTACTTGTTTTATGGATGGTGTGTCATTTAATATGCAGCTTTAGCGTTTCCCGGTGTGGCACAACTGCGCCGATGATTTTTACAACCTGAAAATTCAGAACCTATAACCCTTATAATTTTTTGTGGAGATAAATATACAAATTTTGATAAAGATAAATACCTAAGTACAATAATATTTTGTATTCCTAGAATTTTAGAAAGTTAGATAAGTCATATCTAACATAATCAGTAAAAAAATTGTTACATTGATTTAATTTTTTTGCCTGTTCAAATAGATATACCTAATTCCATAATAAAAGTGGCCTTTCGTCCGATAAATTGGATTACATCAATACTCCTTGATACTTTACTTCTTAGCTTACGGTCAGGAAACAAAAACAAAAGTCTGTTATCAACAGATACGCAGTGACCGATTTCAGGGCACATTTATGTAATAGTTAACAATTTATTTACTATTTTTGGGAAATGACATCAGATTTCTAAAAGAGCTGAACAGATAAGTATACTAATCAAGATTTTGTAATCATTAGATCAATATTAGTATTTTATCAAAATGTCAGAGAAGTTAGGTACCTATGTGGGTTCTAAAACAGATTGTAAAATTTAATGTTACTACATTTTTTGAGATAATTTGTATGTTTCTTCTTACTGTTAATTTCAAGGGCAGTCGCTATAACCTTCGGTTTTTCAAAATGTTTTCAACATGTAATATCTCCAAACTTATTGTTATGAAATTTTAAAAATTCAATCTGCCCACAAGTATGTTTATAAGTTTGTATAATACAAGGACAGTTTTTTTTTTTAAATTTTGAAATTTTTCATCACGTGTTTTTAAAAATCAATATCTCAATTATTTACGGAAATTTTGGAACGCGGTTTTCACCATTGTTTTCAACTTATAAAACTCTTGAAATTATGGGAAAAATATCGAGTTTTTTTTATCAGAAACGAGATACAGTAAAAGCAGTTTCTTCGACACAAGATGTTTTTACTGTAAGATATTTCTTTCATTCATAAGCTGAAAACAGTGGTGAAAACAGCGTTCCGAAATTTCCATAAATATATGAGATACTGATTTTTAAAAATTGGTGTGATGACAACTTTTACCAAAAGTTTAACATTGGAAAGTAAAAATCTTTACAGACAACACTTTTTTATGCCCTGATGTTAAAAGAAATCAGCTATTGCATTTATATACAAATAAATGAAACACATGAGACAAAAAATAATTAGAAATATTTTACTCTTACTATTTTACAAACATAATAAATATCTTAACTATAAATTAACAACAATTAGTCACCAACTTTGATATCTAAATGTGGATTAACTTCTTGTAACATTAAACAAGTCATTTCAAATGAAGTCGTCATTAACATATCGTCAATGCACAAGATCTTAAGATTATCCATCTTATAAAGTGCCCCTAACCCCCTTTCTGTAAATTTCGGACAATTCCTAATATCCAAATAAACTAAGCTATGACTAAAAATATTACTAATTCTATCTAAGAACCAATCATCAAAATTCTCAACTCCATTGAAACTTAACCACTCCACTTGTTTCAAATCTTTCAAATTTGCTAAACCTTCGTAATATAAATTCATGTCACTACAGTCAATGGCCTGCAATATTTTATCTTCTTCATAAAATCTTGGTAAGTTATAATCATTATACTCATTAGCTTTTATCCAATTGTTTTGATGATAAAATTTCACGGCGCCTCCTCGATGAACAATAAAATGTGCAGCTGCCAGTTCGTTACCCAACGTTTGATGTCTTTCAGGTAGATACATCTGTAACATCATTTCTCTATGTTCCTTCCTCTCCGTCCACCATTTTCGGATAGCAGAAGGTGATAAATCGATTGGAGTTTGAAGAAATTTTAGAAGATTTGTCTGATTTTCCTCACTGTAGAATGTTCTGAGAGTACTATAGCGTTGGGCTTCTTTTTGATGCCAAGGCGTTCGCCACTTCATATCCTCTTTAGTTACATCTTTGGGATCATATTTTTTAGGAGTATCAGTAGGTAGATTATTTACAGGTGCGGAAGACTCTGTGTTGGTCTCGATAGTTTTAGTGACCTTTTCGTCAGACTCTTTAGGATTAGGTTGTCTAACTGTTGAAAAACACGCACATTGTAATGACGTTTTGGGTACATTTCGCGCATTTCGAATTAAACTGTACATTTTAACTTTGAGTAGAATTTCGACTACTGATTTCGTTATAAAAGGTAGGTTATGTGAGGTTAGGTTTTAAGTTGAATAAGAAATGTCAAGTTTTAAAATAGTATGCCGCAACCAACAATACAATTGTTCTGTCTGTTTATTATCTACGAGCCCTAACAACTAAATATTGGGACACAGGCAATTTCTCAAAAAAATCCGGTATATATTTTTGATATCATTCAATTCGTTTGGACTAAATGCAAATTTTGCATGGGCATCTATTTTGGCAGAGAGTGAGGTATTTTGCAAATTAATAAATTTTCTTAGAGCGCAAAAATTGTCACCTAAATAAAAAATGTGCCATTTTTGCTGACATTTAAATGTTGGGACACCCGAGAAAATTTACTAAGTATACCATCGAAATCCAAACATAGTAGCTGGTAAATGCTGCCATTATTATAGGGATCGTAGCATTTCATGCTAATGTTGGTTTTATTTAGAAAAAAGTAGTTAGCGATGGGCTAGTTTTAGTAAAACTTCTGAAAATAATAATTTCGCAGTACTGCAAGGGAAAATCGATAAGAAAAAGTGAAGATTTGTTCCAAATAGCTTAGTCGTCGATGGGAAACATCGTAAAATATTAAGCAGACAGAGGTACGATAGGTATAAAAGGTAAAATTCCCGGTAGGCCACCACTTGTGAAGCCGCGTGATCAACAACTGATGAAAATTTATAAAAGCGGACGACGGAGTACTTCAAGAGAAATTATTACTTGCTGGAATAGCGATAACCAACTAAATTTTTCAAGACAATATTGTCGCGAATGTATACACAAATCAGGCTTTGGTTTTTACATTGTAAATCTTAAATGAAGCTATCTTTGATGGATTTTATTATTTATTTATATTATTTTAGGCTAAAGTAAAACCACAATTAAAAACTGCCCACAAGAAAAATCGGTTAATATGGCCAAAATAAAAATTGGAGAAAAGTAATATCTAACGCTGAGTCCAAATTTGATGTCTGGATGAGACAATAGTCGAAAGAGAGTTAGTGAAATAAAAAAGGAATTTTAATATGGATTATCTCAAACAAACAGTCAAGTTTGCAAGCGGAAAAATGGTTTGGGGGTGCATGTCTATTAACGGAATTTAAAGACCAGTTAACAACGTTCATGGAAGGGAAATTACAAATGCAAAGAAATATCAAGAGTCTTTGTAAAAAAATATTAACAACTACTGAAGCAGTCGATTCTGTTGATATTTATATTTTTCAACAGGATGATGCTTCAAGTTACACACCTACAACACTTATTACAAAGAATAATAAAATAAATGTTTACCCTGACCATCGAATAGCCCAGATCCTAATCTACTAGAGACGGTATGGCGTGAAATAAAAAAATATTTAGGCAATCATCCATTTCAAGCGATTGTCAATCTTCAACAGGAAATTTAGCGAGTGTAGGATACGGTAACAACTACTGTGTATTGCAGAAAATTAGTTGAAAGTATGATGGCAAGAATTCTTGCAGTTATTTAAGCAAAAGGAGATGTGACCAGTTGTTGAATTTGCTGTGTCCCAATATTTATGTGTCACAAAATATTACGTTGTTTTAGAGTTTTATGTCACTGTTTGAGTTAGAAATCAGTTTTTGTTGTGCTGTAAACATTAACAGTTTTGAAAAACGAATTAATTTTAAAATTTTAATTATCTAAAATAAATTACATTTTTGTTAAAAAGTTTGGTGACTTTTTTATAAAAAAATTTTGTCGTCCCAATATTTAGTTGTTAGGGCTCGTAAATACACACAGCGATTTCATTTTTATGCAGTTCTAAAATTTTTACAATAACAAATGTTACGTATCTAGAAACAATATACCACTTATTTGCTTGGTTATATTAGCTAATTTTTTGGTTTACATTAAAAAATAATAATACCTACATTAAGAACAATGCTAAAATAAGAAACACAATAAACAAGTTGATATTTACCATTTATAACATTAGAAAATTATTTTAGAAAAGGTCTGCTTATTTTATAAGTGGATATCATCGACTTCGAATCGAAATAAGTTGTACCTGAAATCAGAGACCGGGAATTTGCTGTTGAAACCACGCCCATAGTTCATCAGAACGTTGATGGTTCACGAACTGGGTGTGCTTTTTGTGAACTGACCTAACACACAATGAACCTTATGCTGCTTTCACCAACATGGCAATTTTTCAAATAAAAACAAATTTTTATGTACAGTTAGAAAAACACTACATAGAGCAGCCTGCCAAAAAACCCTTTTCGAAAGAACGACAAGCAGCTATAATCAACGAAATTAAAACAGCCAAGGAAAAATCGTAAATAACAATAATTTTATCACTTTGTTTAATCATTTGTTTTTGTCGAAACGCGTGTGCAATTTTAAATTAACTATATTCAGCAGATAAGGCACAGGATCATAAATAAATTTATATTTAATCTCAAATGGTCAAATGTTTAAATACATTAATTCAGATGTGAATAGATTGCTTAATAAAGTAAACGTACTTAAGAACTAGACTTCCTGAACCAATCAAATTTATTACTTCAAAACTTTTTTAAAGCAAAAATAAATTATTTATATTTTCTTAAAAAAAAAGATACAACTGGTATTATTGTTAAAAATTTTGAAAATAAGTACATACATGTTTTAAAAAAACACATTTGTAGTTGTACAATTTTGTTGCTTTTTATTATAACTATTCATTTTAAAAGCAAGAAGGAAAGGAGAATATACCTATCACTTACTTAAAACTTATGATGTCTTAACTGTTGACGATGATGACATTTTGATCAAAAAACAAGATAAAAAAGAAGACCAAGCAATCAAATATCTTGTACCATATGAGGATCTTTTTGATGTATGCCACAAAATTCATATTTCTACAGGTCATGCAGGAAGAGCTAAAATGCGAAATGCTTTAATCGTCCAACATTATGTTCCACGGCCGTGTGTCGAGGCTTACTCAAGTGTTTGTGAATCCTGCAACGAAAAAAAGAGTTCATCACGCAAACCTCCAGAGTGCGTAGTGTCCAAACATTTCAATGAAAGAGGTCAAATAGACCTTATAGATTTTCAGAACTTGCCAGATGGGAAATTTAAATGGATTCTTTATTATCATGATTGCCATTCAATGTTTGTTTCTTTGAGACCTTTAGAAACGAAAAAAAGCCGCTGAAGTTGCATTTGACTTATTAAAAATATTTTCCATATTTGGTGCGCCAAAAATCTTACACAGTAATGATGGCCAGGAATTCGTTCGGCAAGTTATTAATGAACTAAAAATAATGTGGCCTGAGTGTATCATTGACAACACAACACAACCAGAACAAAAAGGATGTATGCAAGATCTCGGCCAAAATATCGAAATTTTGGTTAAAAAGTGGATTTCGAAAAACCAACGCACGGATTGGTCTCTTGGGTTATATTTTATTCAGTGGAAGATAAATTCTTTACATCAAAAAATTATTATTGGCGGTTGCCCTTATAAAATTGTGTTTGGCCACAACTTAGCGTAACAGCCTCAAATTTGGAAACAGAAATTTTAGACAAGTTGAAAACTGAAGAGGATTTAGATCAGTTGCTACAAAAAGACTATTTTTCAACTAATAACAATCTAGGTGCTAAAACTGAAAATGGTGTCAAGACTGATGGAATTTTTAAAATTCTAAACAAGAAAACAGTTTTCCATTAGAAGCACCCAACATTTGTTTGGTTAAAGTTGAATATGTGGCTTCCTCTGTCAGCCTGAAAAGATCTTCAGAGGAAGTGTTATTTTCAAGGAACAAAAAGGTTCCGCTTGATATACATGGTGATATGTCACAAACTGATAAATGCTGACTTCAGGTTTGATAAAAATGTTTGTTATTTTGCAGTGTATTATTTGTTAAATCTGTGAATTTATTTTGTTTTAGAAAGGTAATAAATATGAATCACATTTTTTTTATTTACATTTGTGCTGGTAAAGATAACTTTTTTTGTAAAATGATACGGTTAACAGTAATACAGATCCAAGTTCCCATACTAAGTTTATTTTGATGAGATGACATTTTCAAGATGGGATCAATAAAAATCGTCCTACGTAGAACCAATTCATAACACCTTATCTAAATGAGTGGATGGTAACGCCAAGTTATGACTAGGGAGTACAAATTTTTATCACGGTTATTTGGTCGATACCACTGATCAGGGCATGGAGCGCTTCTAGTTTTCTACGTTATGGTGCCTTTTCCACGGGCTTTTTGGGTGACAAGTGTCAAACTGAGAACAAATCCAAAATGTGTTCATGTGGACATTACTTTACACTTACATCTGAACGTATTCATCGAAATTATGGCCGAAGTAATAATAATCTTGTTTTGGTATTACCTTCGCTGTGAGAAGAGTGTCCGAGATAAATGTTCAAAATTTAAGTTGTAGAACCCTTAAATGCTAACTCAAGGTAGGCACTTCCCCTTTCGAGTCTACAGTGATGATATTTATTTAACTGATAATAACTTAAATCTTAAATACTGAAATCCCAAACGAGAAGTTATTAAATGTAAAAATTTGAAAAATAAAAAAAATTAAAATATAGAGGAACTGAGAATTCGAGAAATCGAAAAATCTAAAATTTTAAAAATGAAAAATTAAAATATCAACAAGTTGAAAAATTGAGAAATCGAAATATAAAACAGTCGAAAAATCGAAAAATCTAACGTTTAAAAAACGAAAAAAAAAAATCGAAAAATTCAGAAGTCGAAAAATCGAAAATTCGAAGAAACGAAATATTGAAAAATTCCAAAACTGAGAGAAATATCAAAAATTGAGAAATTAGAAAATTGGAAGAATGAGAAATAGAAAAACCCTAAGTCGAAAATTCGAAGAATTGAAGAACTGAAAAATCGAAACTTGGAGAAGTCGAGAAGTGGGAAAATCAAAAATAGATAAATTGACAAATCAGAAAACTGAAAATGTAGCAACGTCAAAATTTGAAAAATTGAAAAATAGAAATGTGTACAGAAGAACTGAAACATAAAAAAAATCGAAAAATCTAAAATTTAAAACATTGAACAATTACAATATCGCAAAATTGAAAACTCGAAAAATCCAAACATCAAAAATTCAAAAAATAAAAATTCGAAAATCTAAAATTTAAAAATCGAAAAACTGAAAAATCGACAAATCGAGAAATCGAGCAGTCGAAAACCGAGAAGAAAATTTAAAAATTGAAAAATTGATGAATCGAGAAATTGAACGTTACGTCTTGGTCTATTTGTATTTTTTTTATTATTAAACTATATTAATAGAAACCAGGGTTTCGCTAAAATTAATATTAATTAATTTCTGCAAAGACACGTACATCAACTTGGATTGGTGCAGTGTTAATACTAAAAATAACAGTATTTGTGTTCCGTACGTAGCGCAGCGGAGGCAGATTAAGTTGGCGGTGGCAAATTCTACCAGAAATTACATATTTTTTCCGTTTTTAGATTATTCCAGATAAAGCCATGGTAATTTTCCAAAGTTCCAAAATGTTCACGAAATTAATTAATGAAATCTGAAATTTTATGTTACTTATTCAGTTCTTAATTTGTTCTTGCTGATTTTAATATTCATTGCATTATTTTTGTTTTTAATAGAGAATGGAACAAAAAGGTGTTTATTATTTTGAAAATCGTTGGAACTAGACACTTGTTCACCACTTCACCAGAGGCCCTCGTAATCAGTCAGTGATGTTTTGTTTCCTAAGTTTAACCAGTGTGGTCTGTGTTCTTGTTTTTGATGCCTGTAATGAGACATATTGTGTGAACATAACCTTTAATTTATGTGCACATGTGAATTTAAAATTTACATTCATGTAAATAGAAATTTAACTGGTTTCAGGAAACAACCCAACTTAAAAACTGTGTATCGTATTTAGTGAAAAATGACAACCGCAACTGTAAAAGGAAATGTTTTGTGCTACAAAGGAAGCAATTTCTTTCGCCAACGACTAGTACTATCAGTTTTAAGTGGAAAACCCATCAGAATTTCTTATATTCGTGCATTCGAAGATGAACCAGGCATCAAAGAATTTGAAGTTAGCTTAATTCGATTGTTCGATAAAATAACCAACGGTTCGGTTATTGAATTGAATGAAACGGGTACTTCATTGTATTTTCAACCAGGTCTGCTGCATGGAGGAACATTTAGCCATGAGTGTTCTACGCAACGTGGAGTTGGTAAAAATCCGCAACATCACTTAATTATGTTATTTTTTTATAATTATAAATTTTGCAGGGTATTATCTGGAAGCCCTAGTGATGGTAGGGTTGTTTTGCAAGCAACCACTAAACGCTACCCTACATGGAGTAACTAATAACAATATTGACCCATCTGCTGATTTAATTAAAACGTCAATGATTAGAGCTGTCAAGAACTTTGTTTTGGATGATGAAGGGCTTGAAATAAAAGTCACTAAAAGAGGTTTGTGTTAATAATCTAAGAAAACAAAATTTTTAAAGACACGTTATTTTCTGCAGGCATGCTACCTCTTGGAGGTGGAGAAGTAATATTTAAATGTCCAGTTCGTAAGCAATTACGACCTGTTCAGTTATTAGACAGTGGTATGGTGAAACGAATTAGGGGCACAGCATTTGCTTTGAGAGTGTCACCAGCAATAGCCAACAGAATAGTTGATAAAGCAAAAGGAGTTCTTCTGAACTTTTTGCCTGATGTTTACATTAACACAGACCAATGTCGAGGTAAGCAATCAGGAAAAAGTCCAGGATTTGGTGTGCATTTAACTGCAGAAACCACAAATGGCATTATCTATTCAGCAGAACAAGTGTCAAATGTTGTATCCAATGGGGAAGATCCATCAATTCCAGAGGACGTTGGTGAAGGTGCCGCTACAAGATTACTATATGAAATCTACTTAGGAGGAGTAGTGGATTCATCTTCTCAAGCACTTGTTATTTTGTGTATGGCTTTGGGGCAACAGGATGTTTCGAAGTTTGTGACTGGACCCCTTACTGAAAATGCAATAGGGTTTTTGAGGCACTTAAAAGAATTTTTTGGTGTCACTTTTAAGGTAGCACATGAGTCAGATGAAGACAGTTCAGGAAGAGGAACACAAAAAGTTGTGCTAACTTGTGTTGGTATAGGATACAAAAATATTAGTAAACGTACCATTTAATGTAAAAAAATAAAAATAAAATTTGTACTTTTACTTAAGATAAATATTTTATTTAACCTAATATTTAATGTATAATACAAATATATTTTTTACAGATTTAAAATACTCATAATTAGGGGAACGCGGGGCAAAAAGGTCATAGCGGGCAAAGTGAACAGTTGCTTAATTAAAGATATCTTCTTGAAAAAAATATTTTTTTAAATTACTAATAGATGATTTTTTGTGTCTAGATGTCTCTGACAAAAATTTTTAAATTTTGCGCACAGTGTTCTGTTATTAATGTGCGTGTGCCTGTTGGTGGTCTCAAAACGGTAACTTTTTATGTACTTTGTGTAAGCTTCAGCTAAGATGATATTGTATATTTATGATACTACATTATCTCATGTTATAGCCCTGACATTATTTTATTGATATATTGTAAAATTTAACTGTATACGTTCATGTTTCAAGAAATATAAACTGAACTATCTTTGAAGTACAGGTAAAGCTGCGGCACTGACGGGAAGTCCTTATACAAAGGAACTTCAAGAAAATAGGACTACCCTAAAAGAAAAAAACCACAATTCCTAAGAAAAGATTCACATTTACGAAAAAATTATTCGAAAAATAGGGAAGACGATACTGCATGCATTTATTGTAGTTCCCTGTTTAGCGACTCTAAGGCTAAAGAAAAATGGGTCCAGTCCACAAAATGTAAAAACTGGCCTCATGAAGATTGCGCAGGGTGTAACAAAAAAATTTATTTGTGATATTTGTGCCTAAAAGCCTATCAATTGTTTATATTTTTTGTTTGTATTTTATAGAAGATATGTTATTCAGTTTTTATGGAATTTTGAAATAAAGTGTTTTATATTTTTTCAAAATTTATTGTATTTTGTACCTATTTTTATGATTTTCTATTAATATGTCCACTTTACCCAATCAAGCGGATCACTTTACCCACCATATAGGGGTAAAGTAGATCAAATGCACGATTGGAGTAAATTGTAAATAAGTAAGAAAATATTTAACAATTGACGTTTTTAGTTCTTTATAGTTATAGCCGAATGTTTAATGAATCAGCATAAAGCGCTAAATCATTGATATAATGCATATAAAAGTTTATTTGCCCATTTTTTCACATCTATGTTCACTTTATTTCTTTTTCCCCTACATAAATTGCTAATTAATAATTTATATACTTAATTACGCTGTGAAAATGGCAGTTTTATTGAAACTTAATATTTTGAAGCTGTCGCAAATATTTTCTGGTTCATAATTGTGTTAAAAATGTTAAAATATTCAGTCAAAAGATTTCAGTATTGTACGAATATTATTAGTTAAGCGAATATACATATCACGAAATAATAACTTTGAGTCATCCAACTATATGTGTCGTAAAACATACAAAAACGTACGTATGCCGCAAAAAAACAATATTTTATTACAAATAATTAGTGACTGACAAAATTAAGGATACCGTTTTCTCATTGGCTATACGTTGGTAATATATAAAAATTTAGAGATGTACCGACTGTAGGTCTGGCCGACTAACCGACTAGCCGATTGTTCGGCCAGTAAAAACCGACTAGTCGGCCGACTGTTCGGCTTTGCTAAAACCGGTTTATAAATGCGACAGACAGTGTGTTTTCTTTTTCTATTTCTCTGACTACCTTAAAAATTTGTTTTATTTTAATAAAAGGAATAACTAAAGTTTCTTTGTTTTCCAAAAAATGTGTTAAATTTGTTTGGATAATTTTAACATTTAATTTTTTTTTAGTAACTCACTACAAAATTAATGAATAACACAATTTAGGGCCAGTTTATACAATATTTTAACTGAGATTAAGTTGATCGCGCATTTAACAAGGCGTCTGATTGGCGTAGAGTCGATCATATGGTACTTTATCGCGGGCTTAAAAATTAAATCGCAATTAAATTTTTAATTGAGGTTCTGTAAACCGGGCTTAATTGTTTTATATACTATTTTAATTTTAATAAAAAAAGCCGACCGATCGGCTGTTTAGCCGACCAGTCGCCGACTGCAGCCGACGATGATAAACGGCCGAATAGTCGGCTTATCCGACCGGTCGGCCACTAGTCGGTACGTCCCTAATAAAAATGTTTATTTAGCGCAATGAAATGCAAAATTTTTTGTATGACAGGTTAATTTTTTTCTCAGTAATAGAATGTTGTAAAAGGAAAGAAATATAAATTCCGTTAAATTAAAAAATTGGACTATATTATAGCGATATTCTATTCTGTAATTTTTTTTCAGTATTGTCATTTTGGAAGATTTTAGTTGTCTTAATATTTTTAAAGTAGTAATAAATCTCGGACTTGCTACAGATTTATTACAAATAGTTTGCCAGAAAATGTGAGCGTATTCATATTTTGGCCAACGAAAATATTTTTCATTTCTTTACGCGTCAAAATTCAAAGTTGTCAGATAATTCGAACAGTTCCTCTTCTGACTCATGAATGACCGGTTGCCTGGAGTGAAGGGACGAAGCTACGAAGGACGTTTCCTTGGCGGTTAAAAGTTCGCGCTGTTCCAAGATTAAACCGTTTGAGTTGTAGCTTTCCATTCTGATTTTAATATCTTCGATTTGTTGAGATTTACCGATTTAATCAAAGAGATGAAAAATATTTCCATAGACTATCCTAATCTGAAAATTTTGATCACCCATTATTTTCGATTATATAGCCTATAGCCTAATAGACTGAAATGTAACACATATATCTATAGGTAGCTAGTCAAGTTAATTCAGTGTTAAAAAGTGGACGACCGTGCATTTGGAGTAGACAACAATTTTTTTTAAGTGTTGGTAGAGGTGTCGTCGGTTACTGTAAAACATCTTTAAAATTAATTACTTTTTTATTTATTTTCGTAACCGTGGGTCCAAAAAAAAATTGTCATAAATATTTTTGCAGAAGATATTATCTAAAATTTCTACTTACCTACAACGTTTCGCCATAGTATTAAAAATAAAAAAGACGAAACATTGAGAACTAGTGAACGAAAAATTTTGAGGCGAGTTATATTTTGCGCTTTCATTAAAAAAAAAAAAACGCACAACTTATTTATAGAGCATTTTCTGGTAACCATTACAATCTTATCTACGTTTTTATACAGTTTATTTTTCGATTTGTCAGCGGTGTGGGGCAAGTTTTATGAAATGTGTGCTTAAGCTTATGATAAAAATTTGATAAACATATAATCTAAAACTAAATTTTATAAAATGTAATATTTTAAAGGAAATTTGGAAATTTACTAATTCTATAGAATTTACATTTTCTATTTTTGGAATGTTAAAAGTCTTTGAAACATTGTAGAAGGCCCCAATTTTAAATGAAACAAATTTATTTTGAAAAAGATACAATTCATACCTTAAACCTCTAAATAAAATTTCGAAGATAATATTCACAATACAACCAAATTAAATCAAACACATAATGGCAACATACCTAGAATGTCAAAAATTTTGTAACTTCGGTCATCTGAAAAACATAGAGAATTGTAGTTTTTCAGACAATTTAAAAATTTGCAGAAACTAGAAGCACATACACCACTCTAGAAATAATTTTTGTTAATTAAGAGCTTTCATGTCTTATTTACAAAATATATAAATTCCACCAAATATCCAAAAAATCAGTAAAGTTTCAAATAAAGTCTTGAAGTGGAACACCTATACTCACTGGCGCTACTGAAGTAAAGTGGTGTAAGTCAAGCGTACCCCAAACCGATTGTGGCTTTTGTCTCCTTCCCCAATAAACACTCTAGAACATGGATAGTTGCCTACGCAAAATTTAAATTTCAAGTTCAAGACAACACAATCTTATAATATAATTTAAATTGTCGTAACGTTAAACTTGTGGTTACTTTCATTTGTAATATCTTAACGGTTTGGGTTTTTTTTTTTGTTGAAGGGATACTAGAATAGTCGATATCTCAGTTTTATTTCTGTTTAAATCGTGTAATCGTTTAGAGAAAATTTGTTAATTTTAGATGCTAAATTCGTTACTAAAAAATATATTAACTTTATATGGGTACAATAAACTTTATAAATAAAATATTTAATTATATATGTTACAATGTTAAAAATATTGCTAATAAGTAGGTAGTTAATTTTGCTTTAATGGTAACACTGGAATGCGTAAGTTTTATTCTTCTTGGCAACTGTTTTAATTTCTTTTATTTTGGACGCAAATCTTAGAGAGTTTATGCTTTCCCCAAAACACTCTTCAAAAGGTGAAACATTTACGAACATTAATGTTTTGGAATTACCGCCAAGACAAGACTGCAGCAAAAATGTCAACTTTGAGTTTCTGTATGGAATGTGTGGGTGCTTATTATACAAAGCTAACATTACATTTCCCAGTGCTGATAAGCTTGTATTTATATTTTTGGTTTCATTCAGTCTTTCTGCATTGGTAGTTCTGGCACTTTCAGAACCAGCCAAATCTACTAAATGTATGGAACCAGAATATTTAACTTTACTTGTCTCATTATATCCTTCAAGATGAATTTTAGTTATTGCATGAGATCTAGAACTATGCTCATTAGAATTTGTTGCTGCTACTGTCCTATTCTTCTGCGCTTCTTCCATAAGAAGTTTCAGTTCTTCGGCTGAAGTAATTGGAATAATTTGAAGATTGGTGACTGTTATACCGTGTCCTTCATTATAACGCACTTCGTAATTGTGTGTGCTGTTTGGAAGAAGAAGATCTCGTATATTTTCGTTATATAGTTCAAGAAAACTTGCTGTGACGCTATAATTCCAATCTAATGTTGAAAGTTTGTCAATCTTTTGGAAAATTAAGTCGATCGTCCTTGGAATAATGCCTGTAAAGTGATTCCTACCTAAATGAAACTGCTTACACTAGGTTTAAAGTCAAAAAGTAAAGTAACAAACAAAATATTCGTTAAACGTTAATCCAAGATAGGTACTCTTTATATTTCTTAGATGGAACATATTTTATGTACGTAATATAGGTAGACGACTTTAAACGCAGAGAAGACAGCGGATTCAATTTTAAGGATTACAATTTATGTTGATCGTTCGATATAACACTGGTAACGAAATTATAAACAGTATCAAAACGAATGTCGTGTGACACAATAATGGCAACTAATTTTAAAATTTTTAATGTTCAATGTCTGGCCAATTTATTATAGTATATTATACACCCAACTTACCACAGTCGTTCGACGACCCTTGCATTGTGTATGTTTTCCCAGATCCAGGTTGTCCATAGGCAAAAACACATACATGATAACCGTCCAACGCTGACTGAACTAACTGCCCTAATTCTTCAAATACCTCTGCTTGAGTAACATCAGGTGGGAAAACTTTATCAAAAGTAAACTTTTGCTTCAGATTTATGAGTTTGCCGCTAAGAACATTGACACTTTTCCGAGCTTTTCGTATTTCTAAACTTGTTTCATTAGGGAAAGACATTGCGCAGAGTTGTCTTTCGTTCTCCTCACTGGTGATCGGAGGCCGAATTCTACAAAAAACGCGTATATTTCCTGTCACATCCTGTATAGTATTGCGTAAAGATCTTCTGGGATCATCCTGCTTGTCTAAATCTCGTTTTAACTTCAACGTAATATTTTCCAAATCTTTGCACCAATTTTCTAAAAGTGTGTTGCACAATGCTGGTTCTTGTGGTATTTTTTCTGTGTTAGAGATTTTTTGCAAGCACTCTTTAGTTAGTTCTTCAAGCGTGTTGAAAGAAGTATGGAGCCAAAATTTACTTTCCTGATTTGAAAGCTTTGCTTTTAAAGTAGAATTTTCATCTAGGAGATTTCGGTTTTTTTCTTTTAAATTCTTCTCAGTTTCCAACAAGATATTGTACTTTTCTTGACAATTGTCATAACTGTCTGTAAGATTTTGGTACTCCTTTTTCTGATTTGCAAATTCTTTAATAAGGGAATTTTTTTCGTTAGAAACAACCATGAAGCTATCTTGTAAATTTTTCTCACTTTTCTGAAGAAATTCTATTTTCTCAGGATCATATTGTTTTGCGTTACGAAGACTTTCTATTTCTTCCTCAAGTTGTGAAACTTGGGTCTTGAATAGTTTATTTTCTTCTAATGTCGCGGTGTGCTCTTTCTGCAGTTCTTGGAATCTCGATTTATAATCCCAATCTGGGATTTTTACCTTGGGGACTTTCGGTTTGTTTCCTTTATCGATTTCTTGAAGAGCGGGTCTTTTCTGCCCGAGTTTGAGAGCAGCTATTCTTCGTGTAGTCAGTGGTTTCTGTTGAATTAGTTGTAATTCCGATGCAGATTTCGAACGTGGTCGAAGCATTGGTTTCACATGTACTTTTGGAGCAGGTGTAGACAGTTTTGACATATTTGATGTGGAAGATCTAGTGGACTTGTCTTCAGAAATGGTTGGCAGAAATTTCGACTTTTTTGTTTCTGTTTTCATGATCTTAGTAAGTGGTTTAAGGAAAGATTTTGGTGTCTCTGCCGACTCCATCGTTGTGAACTGTAAAAGTGAAGATGTTTTTAAACTACCAATCAATCAAGGTTTCTTCAGATTGTGTAAGTATATCGTTTACAATTTTTGCAACTAATTAAATAAACGGTAACTTGTAGTTCAGTTTGCTACATAAATTAGTTACACTACTGGTGGGGAAGTTTATTTATAATAGCACAGTCACTGTCACATTTTTAAACACTTAAAACCGTAATTACAAAATACTGTAATTTTTCAACAAAATGGGACGAGTTGTTCTTGATTTGATTAATAAAATAAATTGCTTGTTTAATAACTTTTTGAGTCAGTTTATAGGTATGTCCATATAAGTAATTTAAAAAAATATAAATCCATTGATAAACGACAAGTATAGAATCGTAATAGGTATTAAAATACTTTGCTAACTGAAGCTCGGAAATTGTTCAAATCAATGTTGATCTTTCTTGGGGTATTTTTACAACCTTTAAAGACGATGGATGACATTAATTTGTAGAAACCGTATAATACAATCATGAAATAATTCATTGTAAAAAATATCTTTAGTAAGTTGTCCCTACAGCTGGTTTCACAAAAATCAGGTTCTCATAGATCAATGAAAAGCAATAGGAATATGACGTTCATGTCACTGTCATTTGTCCCGTTTTTTATTAAACCAGCTGTAAGTACAGTTGGCGGCATAGAAGAACTGCAATAGAACTATGGAACTACAAGATAATAAAAGATACGTAACTAATAGTCACTTACCTACGAATTCTTCTACAATATAACTTGAAATTGAAAGAAATTAATGTTGCACATGTGAATCAAGTGACGCTGTCGCAACAGTAAAATAAATAAAAACTCCCACAAAAACAAATTATAAAAAATTTAAAATTAGTCCACAATTAAACACATCGAAGCAATAACAGATTCTGTTTGGAATTTACTCGAATTGTCGGCATGTTGTTGAAACTCGTAGATCCACTCAGTAAAAATACACATATAGTTTTTGCCAAAATTAAAAAGCATCACTTGTTGATTTCAGCTGCTAACAAAAAAAACACCAATGGTAGGTAATTTGGATCTTTGTAGAATAGGATTACGTTCTATACCGTTTTTTACAGAGTTGAATTATGTGAGTGTCATAGTAGTTTGTGTCAATTAATAATCCCAAAAATTTGGCTCATTTTTTTGAATGATTGTTTTTCTATTTAATTTTATGTATAAAGAAGATTCGTAGTTAATATTTTGAGATAAGCTTCAGCCCATTTGCCGTCGACCAGTTCATTATTTTTTTACATGCATTGTTACCATTAGTAACCAACGGATTAGTTACTATAAAGTTTGTATCATCTACGTAATTAGCTTTTTTTGCTGTTGGACAATTATCCTCAATGTCATTTAGCAAAGCTATGAAAAGCAAAATGCCCAAAGTCGACCCTTGAGGTACGCCCATAGTTATTTTGTTTGCTTCTGAAATTGTTTTATCGATTATATACTACCTTTTGTTCTCTATTGCTTAAGTAGGATGTTATCCACTTTTTACTGATTCCTCTAACACCCATTTTTCCTAATTTATTAATACGCAGTTAATGATTTATAGAGTCAAACGCACGAATAAAATCAAAAAATATTGCAGCAATATTATCTTTTTTGTTAAAAGATTCTCCAATGAAAGTGCTAAAATCTTCAATTGCTGTCATGGTCGATTTATCTTTTCGATAGCCATGTTGTGTATTGCTTAACATGTGATTTAAAAAAAAAAACTGTATTATCTCGATGTCATAGCTAATAAATAGCGAATAAACTGTAAACATTTTTTTCCGTGGTTGTTACACAATTAGAACAAGAAAAAAAGTTTTAAATTGGTAAATTAGGTGTGTCGAGCTGCAATAACGTCCCTTGCGACCTCCAGGGAAGGAAAAAAAAGTTATTTATGTTCGAAGATCATGTTTTTCGCGAGGAATTGGACAGAAAAATTCTTCAGTACAAGAAAACTGGAACATATTTTAACGTGAATAAATTTTTATATTTGCTCCTGATCATCTAGAATACACCGGTTAACGCCGCACTTTATCAAATGCGTGAGATACAAATATAAAGTTCAAAATAACAGGAAAATGTTCATAGCAAAAATTGTACTAAAGGATTACAATCGAAGTCGAAGTCGAAGGCTATTTCGAAAAACTGAAAATCGAAGAATACAAAAAATAGAAAAATCTTCCGGAAAGTCGAAATTTGAAAAATCGAGAAATTTAAAAATCGGAAAGAGAAAAGAATGAAAAGTTCGAAAACTCGAAATATCGACAAATCGAAAATTCGAAAAATTGAAAAACAGAACAATTGAAAATTCGAAAACGTAAAAAATCGAACAATCAAAAATTACCGAAAAATCGAGAAATTGAAAAATTGAAAAGTCCAAAGTTAAAAAATCAAAAACTCGAAAAATTGAAATATTGAAAATCAAAAAAGGGAAAAATCGAATACTCGGACCCTCGAAAATTGAAAAATCGAAAAAACTAAAACTCGAAAATCAAAAATTCAAATTAATCGAAAATTCGAAAAATTGAAAAGCCAAAAGATCGAAAATTCGAAAAATCGATTATTCGAAAAATTGAAAATCGACAAAATCGAAACTCGAGAATTGAAAAAATCAAAAAATCGAAAGTCGGGTCATCGAAAATTCAAAACACAAAATTCGATGAGCCAAATATTCGAAAAATCGAAAATCGAAAATCGAAAAAACGGAAATCCGAAAATTGAAAAATTCTAAATATCGAAAATTCGGAATATCGAAAATTCGAAACTTCGGAACAGAAACCTTCAAATTCGAAATATATCGATTTTTCCTGGTTTATTTTTAATTTGCCATGATTAAGCAATGATCACCGTTCTTAAGATAATTTTCGTGTCATAGTTGTATGACTTGTATTTTTTGCCCTTGAAAAAACTAATTTTGGTGATACGAGTATTTTTTCAAAAACGTTATAAGTTCAGTTTTTCAATACTGATGAGTATTCCATTCGCCTGTCATTTGTAAAAAATGGACCAATAAAAATGCGAGTTTACACTTTTGTTCCTATGGTTTCAAGAAATTCTACCGAATATTCCACTAGTAGAAATATCAGCGGACATACCACTGGTGGTGCAGCGAATATTTTTAAAAAATGAATATTTTTAAAATTAACAACTAAACATATATTTATTAAGCATTAAATTTTTAAATTTTTCGAACGCGCATTGACATGGAAATCGAATCATGCCTAAAATTATTTTGAATGTGTTCCGATTCAGTTTGAATAAAGAGTTCGTTCATGGCTCTCGGAAAAATAGTCTACCGAATACCAATCGTAGTCCAAGTTATGTACTCGTAGACTATCTATTTTTCAAACTGGTTTCACTCATTCAATTGTGCTTGTGAATCTCTCTCCTGCTAACGCACTCGTGAATTCATTTGCAAGCACAACTGACATTCGTGATAGTTTGAAAAATAATCGACATAACTTGGACTACCCGTGGTATTACATATGAAAATTTCTATGAATTGTTGAAATACTCGGAAAAAAACACTTATCTATTTACAATTCTCACGAATATTTCTCGGTGGCATCACACATACTAATTTTAATAACAAAATGATTTCATAATCCAATACAAACAGAGACTGAAAATGACGGTGACAAATTTATTGATAAGATTTTAACGGAAACGCTTGTCTTATCTACTTTATATCCGTGTAGCTTTAGAAAAAGTTAATTGCTCAGTTGTGAAAGTGTAGAAGTTTTGTCTTGCAAGCATTACAATGTCTAGCGAGGTAAGAAGTAAAATTTTACTAAGCGTTAGCAACAGAATATCTGTTTGTGTTTCCGTCAGTCTGTCTGTTGTAACTTGATATTTTCCGGCTATATCAAAAACGCTTATTTAATGTTTCTGAAGTTTTGAGAACACAATAATATTGCGACGCATCTTAAAATATTAAATAATTATTTATTAACAAAAAACATGTTCCAGGATATTTTTCAAAAACGAAGGGGGACCACCGATAGAGGGAAAGAGTACGAAGACCTCCATATTGCAAGTCTTATTTTGAAGTTAGTGCTAGACAACGATATCGATAATTTTTATTTGGCCTCAAATATAGAAGAATTTGGGTCTTTTGACGACACTGTCGTTGAGGTATTATTTCGTGATGGAACCACACAAACTTATGCTTTCCAGTTAAAACAGTCTCATCGTGGCAAACAGTTAACACTGTCTTCTTTGACAGCTGACAAAGGAAATTTTAGCATTAAAAGGTATTGTCGAGATTCTTTGAATTTACACAACGAAAATGTGAAACTAATTGTACTTACAAATTTGAAGTTTGACGGTGATGGCTATGAATTTGCTTTGGATGACTCTAACATTTTAATAACTCAGCGCCCACAAGAGGGTATAGTATCAATTTCTGACGATGGATGTTGCTTTCAGTTTATTGACACAACAAACAATGGAGGTTATGAGAAATTTTTTGAAAATTTTTTCTTGTACACTAATCAGACCCATGTCGATGATCTAAATGACAGCATTTACAAAACGTTTCAAGAGACATTTTGCTGCGAAAAAGAGTCAGTTCTAGAATATATCAGGTTTATCAGCGAGTGGAGCAAGAAAGAAGGCAAGAAAGAAAAGTTAACCAAAAAGTTGATGAGAAATGTTATAACACTGAACCTGATAAAACCACATATCCTGCACTGGCCGTTCTCTCAAAATCAAGTTAATGAGAAAATTAAACTACTTAGAGATACTATTTTGCAATTTGAAATAACAATATTCAACGATACCAACCTACAGCTGGTTTTTAACCTTTGGGAAGACGCTAAACAAAACGCTGTATTTGATAAACACATTTTGCACAGATATCAGTTGTCACACCAATATGTAAACACTTCAGTCGAGCTTGCTGATATAGAAGCTTCAATTTTTTTATGGTTACTTGATAAATGCCCTCTAATACTGGTAAACTCCGACACGGTGAACAAAGCGATACGCTTTTCCAAAAACAAGAAATTCATCGTCGTGGATAACGACTACGTAGGTGAAAACCCCCAAACCTTCCAAAAGCTTTCCGATCTCAAGAAAAATCAGCCCCTTTACGAGAAAGTACTGAAAGAATTCAAATGCTCGCTCCAAGGAAAAGAAGAAATTTCTTTGGGTGCTCTCACAGAATTAAGCGACAAACTAACCTCCAGAATCACCACCAATCACTTACTGGAAATGGCAAACGCTTGTTTAGCGATCGCCGAGGACAAAGACGAAAACCTTCCTTCTTCTTACATTCCAACACTTTTGTCAAAAGTGGTAGTCAGTTCCGAGATTCTAAACAGAGTTGATCAAGAGACCTTGATTTTGATATGTTGTGTAGACAATGAGGAAACTCTTACACAGACCTTTCCAAACGTTACTTTTGTTAGAGTGGAGGAAAACGAGCACAACCAGGAGCATCACAAGCCAAAAAACAAGAAGAAAATCGTTTTATTTGCCAAAAACGAATGTTCCGAAGCTCAGTTTTACAAACTGTGCTCCGAACGGTACAACAAAGCTCATCAAGTAAGATTTGTCGAAAACATTGGTGTCAGAGGGTTCGAATGGGTGAGAAGCAAAGACGGAAGCAGCGATTTAAGCGAATTGCTCTTGTCTGGTGATTATTATATAGAAGAGTCGCAATGTCACAAGTACGAAAAAGAAAACTGTGTTAATGTCGTCTGTGGTAAACCTGGAATGGGCAAAACCACTCTGATGAAGAGTTTTAAGAAAAGGAGCGCACCAACGACATGGACGGTTTTACTGTATGTAAGAAACCACTACAAGCATTTTAAGGAAAAAAAAGACAACTTGTACGAATTCGAAAAGTACATCTTAGAAGACACTCGCAAAAATTTTGGAAATCTGGCTTGTCAGATATTGAGAAGTTTAATGGAAAAACATCGAGTGACATATCTGTGGGATGGTCTGGATGAAGTCGATCAAGAAACATTTGGTGTAATCTGTAGGATTATAGAACACTTATCCAAGAAGAAGACGATTCAGTGGATTTCGTCGAGGGATCATTTGAAAAAAGATATAGAAAACACGTTCAGTATTTTATCCAGAAAAGTTATACCTTTCGATGACAAAAAACAAAAGGAATTTGTGAGAAATCGTCTGGAATGTTCCGAAGACCAACTGACGACTCTGTTTGAAGACATCAAGAAGAATATTCAGCTGTTTTCAAATAACGACGTATTAGGAATCCCTTTGCAGATTTTCATATTAACAGAACTGTTCCTCCAAGATAAGGCCAAGTATGCTCGTTTAATTAAGGACGTGTTTTCAGTTGCCGATTTGTAACACCATTTCGTCGAAGAAAAGTTCAAACTTTACTATAAGGATAAGAAGAAATTGGATTTGGATTTGGATCCACTCAACGATATAATTTCGGCCCACAAAGTCAATTACATTAAGTATTATCAAGAGGCGGCCGTAAAAATTCACTTCGAGAAAGAAATCAAATTGGAAATGAAAATTCGTCAGGAAAAAGACGAAGTTGGGTTTATTACTAGATTTGCTACTGGGGGATACCCGGAATTTTTTCATTATTCGTTCGGAGAATATTTCGCAGCGCTCTATCTAGTCGAATCAAAGAACACGTGTTCCGACATACAAAACGTACTGTTTGAAGAGAAATATAACAACGTCCGATTCTTTTTAGATTTAATTCTATCGAGGAGCAGCAAAGCACACGTAGCAGTGCTTTATCAAAACAAGCAACTCCTCCAAAAGTGTACTGACGAAGAACTACGTCGTAAGGATGACGGTGGACGAAATCCTCTGCAAGTTGCTTGTTCTTGGGGCACAAAATTTGTAACACTAGGTTTGAAAAAGTCCGAACGAGGTTATAAACTCGACGATAAGAAGTCTTCCAAGTCCGTGAAAGCAGAAGATCCTGAATATCTCAAAATGATAGACCACTTAACAGACAAATGTAACCCCGAAGAGCTTGATTGTTTGTTTAATTTCGATTCATTTTCGTACGCTTTAAAATCACACTGTTTGGTCGCACTAGCTCTTGTGCTATTTAAAACCAAGAAGCAACTTTCATACTCTTTGGAAATCAACTACACGATTTTGTATTTGGCAGCAAGGTTCGACTACCCCTTTGTCTTCGACACGGTTGACCAAGTGCCTCCTTTGTACTCTGAAAAGTTTCGTGGTTCGCTTTTGTACGTCGTCGTTCACAATGACAACACCAACAGTTTAAAGAAGATTTTGCCTAAAATGACGAAGATTGTCAAAAACGGCGAAAACTCCTTGCACAAAGCTTGCGAGAATGGAAATGTCGAAATTGTCAAGCTTTTGATGGACCATGATATCGATCCAAGCACTCTAGACAATTATGGCAGGACTGCTCTGCACGTTTCTTGCACGTACGGAAATCATGAAATCACCAGGTTGCTTCTAAAGCAAACAGCACTTTTAAACTTAAAAGACAAGCATGGTCGAACGCCGCTACATCAAGCTTGCATTAAAGGTCGCGTTGAAATTGTCAAGATGTTGTTGGAGAACAACGTAAGCGTCGAACTACAGGATAGTGCTGGCAAACTTCCTGTACACTATGCTTGTGCTGAAGGTCATTACGACATCGTAGTAACTTTGGCAGACTTGGCCACAAAAGCAATTTCTAGGTGTGGTAAAACACCTCTTCACTTCGCCAGCGAGAACGGCCATAGTCAAATCGTCGAACTCCTCACCAGTATAGAGACCGATGTCAACAAACCAGATACCAAAGGTAAAACGCCCATCCATTATGCTTGTGCTGGAGGTCACTACAATGTCGTGCGACTTTTAAACAAAAAAGGTGCTAATCTGGAGTGCGTAGAAGAAGACGGAAAACACCTTCTACATTATGTTTGTCAAAAGGGAGACTACGATTCGTTGAAATTTCTCCTCGACAAAGTACAACACGTTTTACGTTTGGATAGAAATGGCAAAGCACCCATCCATTACGCTTGCGCTGGAGGTTTCTTGAACTTGGTTACAGAACTCCTGGGTTTTGACTTAAACGTAGATCTTCCAGACGGAAAGGGTTCGACACCGATAGATTACGCCTATCAAGGCAAACACTACGACGTAGTGAAACTTCTGATTGACCGTGGGGCGAATTTGATGTTACCAGGAACGAAATTTTTGGTTCATCGAGTGTGTGAAGGTGGAGATGTGGAAATTCTCAAACACGTCATCAACAAACACATTGACTTTACAATTAAGTCGGCTGATGGGAAAACTCCAGTACATTACGCTAGTCTAAATGGACGTCTGGAAATACTAAAACTGTTGTTCGACCACGGCGCAGAAATCGAAGATGAAGACGCTGATGGTAAAACACCCATGCACTACGCCTGCGAAAATGGTCACTATGAAGTCGTCGAATTTTTGCTTGAGAAAGTACAAGAGAGAAACCCGAAAGACAAAAACGGTGAGGTGCCACTACATCACGCTTATAACAGTGGAGTTGGCAAAATCCTAGAGTTGTTGGTTGAAAATGGAGTTGATGTTGAAGTTCCAGACAGGAGTGGTAAAATGATCGTGCATAGAGCTTGTATGGATAGACGAATTGACGTTCTGGAGCTGCTAATTGACAACGAAGCTGATTTGGACATCACCGACGAATATGACGAAACGCCGCTTCATCATGCATGTGCTGCAGGGGATCGTCCAATAGTGAAGATGTTGCTGGATAATAACGTCGATATTCGGAAGAACCAGTATAATGAACTTCCTATAGACATAGCTCGTAAGAACAACCATCATGTTATTGTGAATTTGTTGGAAGATTTATGTAATTAGACTAATCCTTTTTTTTTTTTTTGTTTGTACTTCGAACATTAGATTTTTACACATTAAGTTTCTTTTCTTTTTATATTCTTCTTCTTCGAAGCCTTCTTTCAACTTTCGATTTTTTAGTAGAGACTTTTGTAGATCAAGTGTCGACGAATGAAATTAAATCACGCTGTAAAAACTCAAATAGATATGTGATCCCGCGCCAAAATTCATGAAAACAATAAAAGGTCTTTCAATATGACTAGGTACTGTGGCGTATTTTGAAAGTATAAGGGACCTCACATCTCAAAATATATATAGCCAATGCTTTGGCTCAATATTTTGCATCTGTTTACATAAGAGATGATTCCAACATACTTTGTCATTTCAAATATTTATAACTCCCGTGTAAATAACACGGGTCTAAAGATTAGTTTGTCTGATATTATCGATGAAATTTCTAAATTGAAATCTTCGTGTATTCCAGGTTTTTTCACTATTGCTTTTGTTGTTTGCAATATCTTTGAGGGGTGGTATTTTCCCTAAAATGTGAAAGAACAGGCTACATTATTCCCATTTTTAATTCTGGTAGACGTAACATAGTTGAAAATTAAAGATGGTGTATGTTGTCGATCAGCAATTCCAAAGTTACCTACTTGATTCCAACTTCAGTGGCCTTTGTCTTCAATTTTCTCGTCTAAACAATATGGTTTCGTCTCTAACACATCCGTAGTGTCGAATATTCTTGAATATTGATCATTTCTAAACGAAGCATTTACTAATCATTTGCAAGTCGATTCAGTGTATACTGATTTCGCAAAAGCGTTCGACCGCGTTAATCGCAGATTATTACGTTTAAAGTTGGATAAACTTGGTTTGAAAGATAACACTATTAAGTGGTTAGCATTTTTTCTGTCAGGCAGGTGCCAACAAGTTCGTATTGATAATTTTATTTCATCGTTTTCTCTGTTCCATCTGGTGTTCCTCAAGGTCCCACTGCGGACCCGTTCTGTTTCTATTACTCATAAATGATTTAACGCAGTCTTTACAATATTCAAATTATTTACTGTACGCTGACGATCTAGAGATCTTCAAAGTTATTCGAGACACACGAGATTTAGAACAAATACAATGGGATCTTGACAAGCTTTTTGATTGGTGCAATAACAACTTACTATACTTAGATAAATGTTATATTATGTCAAATTTTAACATAAAATCTAACATCAATTTTTGTGACAAACTGAATAAGCGTAATATTAAACGTGTTACTAAAATTAATAGTTTAGGAGTAATTTTTGACTCATCACTTTCGTTTAAAAGTCATTATTCCGATATATTTAAAAAAAGCTTTGAATATGTGTTCCTCAAAAGTTTATATTGCTCCTTAGTTTGGCCACACTTAGATTGTTATTCACCTGTTTGGTCACCATTATATAATTTTGTTGCTTGAAAATGTTCTGAAGAAATTTTTGAGGGCTCTCAGATTTAAACTTGGCTTCAAACTCACCATATTTTGCACATTTGGGTAGAATTTATTCACAAACATTTTGAGATGACGTTATACATATTTTAATTACCAATTTACTATGCTTACAATAACTTCAAAACGTCTGCAAGATTTCAAAGTACTCAGTTTTGCAATGCTTGATTTGATCAAATAAATTAACTCAGTCATTAATTTTTGCCCCCCGTATAAGCAAATCTAAAAAAAAATGCAGTGATAAATCACAGTCACATTTATTCAGCAAAATTTTGAAATGACATCATCAATTTTTTAGGTTGGATGAGCAAATACATTTTGATCAAAAATTTACCATGCTTATGATAACTGTAAAACATCTCCAATATTTCAAATTTTAAAAAATTTAATGGAAAATCAAACAAATTAAAAAGTTAAATTCGCAACAAATCTTATAATTTTTCGAAAAAGCTGGATTTGTTGAACTGTACTTCAGGAGCGAAGGACGTTCTGTCGAAATAGCATTCAACTATTTTTTTAAGTGTATATTTTTTGCAACACTAAGTACATGGTCTTTCAACTAGTATTTTTCCATTGTTCTCCATTTTGTATTTAAAACCTATTGCTCTCAAAATTCTGTACAATGTGGTGCGTCCTCCAAATTTTGTTTAGTAAACTCCAAAAGCATGTATAAATGAAAATATTTACCCGTTTTTTACATCTTTGAATTTGCATTCCCAGTTCTTTTTGAACAAATGTAATACTTAAAAACCCTAACCCTAACCCTAACTAAAAAAGTAACCCTTAGAAACCCCTTAAAAATTCTGAAATTGGTTAAGAGAGCTGACTGCTTCACCATTCCTTTGAGGGTTAATAAAATGAACCGTTGAGATGCCTCTAGCTTCGGCTAACTCACGCACCTTCATTCCTGTTATGAACTTTATTAATGGTTTCTGGTATGACAGCAATTTTTAGTCCTTCAGACGTGGTGCGTCTTCAAGGGATGTTCCCCAGCACTTGAACTCATTAACTCAATGGCGAATGGCTTCATAACAAGAATATGAATCTCCCAATGCAGGAAAAATCCTTTCACGGATTTTTTTGCAGTTTTCCCTTCTAAAAGGAATTACACTTCTCATTTTTTAAATAAAATTCACCTGATACATTAGCACTTAATACTCAATTGATTCTTAAACGAAGCATTACTGACAAAATGACTTGACATTATAGAGACAATGCGAACCGAATTATTGGTCAAAACACCCTCGTAAAAACTTTCCCAAATGAACCGACTTTCAAAAAAAAAAACCGCGTCTAAGTTGGTTCATCCGTTTGGGAGAGACAGTGGAACACAGAGAGACATAAACATCAGCTGATGATCATGAAATGATTGCAGTGATTTATCATCAAACATGACTAAAAACCATCCAGCTTTCAACTAAAAAAACACCGCACCGAAATCGGTTCATCCGTTTGGAAACTACGGTGCCACAGACAAATTTACAGACAGATAAGGGCTTCAAAGTTAATAGTTAGTAGCTTAAGTGATTATCATCATTATCATCAAACCTAGCTTAAAACCATCCCGATCGAACCAGCGTTCAAACAAAAAAAGCCGCATCGAAATCGGTTAACCCGTTTGGGAGCTGCGATGCCACAAAAAACAGGGTCAAAGCTATAACACCCCTCTTTTTCAGTCGGGGGTTAAAAAATGATCTTCAAATTTTTTTTTTTTCTGTCGGCTTGACGTTTAGAAGAACTTACTAGCTCATCTCCTATGTTATTGCTGTTCATTATATTATTGTAAATCTTGATATCCAGTGTATGGTGGGTTGCCGTGGTTTATTTAGCACGACAGCGGGTAGCGTACATTAAGCGTGCATTCCCTTCCCTAATGCCATTCCACAGCTGTGTTCCACAGAGTCCACATACGCCATTTGCTGTACACACTTGCATTCATGGAGCAGAGTCTGGTTTTGTCCTCTTCTTAATTTCGTAAGTAAAGTTTGTCATTATTTTTTAAGTCAGTTGTGTAATTCATCTTAAGAGACCTATTCGGTGTGTTTAGCCTTGGTAAAATCTATTCTGTTCCAATGATTTTAACAGTTCCTGCAGTAACGGTTAGGCATATGTCATTTTCAAAAGTTGTGTAGAATTTCTTGAAAACTCAAGTAAATCATCAAATAATTCAGCAGTAACTACTGAGTACGAAGAAATTTGGTCATTTTTTACTGGAACACGTGATCGTTGTACTTTTTTAAAAAAACAGTGGATACTTTCACACCTAAACCACGATAATAATTCATACAGATACGTTAAGCGCAATATCACTTTTTGCGGGTATTACATACAAATTTTTTCTACGAACGTTTTAGATAACTTATTTTCTGGAGAATATTATACCTACAGGAAAGACAATATATTAATAATTATTAACAATTAACAATGATATTAAATTCAAAATATCCAATCAAAATGGAAAATAAACGAAAAGTAATAGGAAGCGAGTATTATTATTTGACACAATTGACACAGTGCGGGAGAATTTGAATAACCATTTAGCCATAGCAAGGAAATATTTACATTTTTATAAATAATTGTAAAAATCAGACACAATTACGTGTTCAATTGGTGCTAATCGTTGTATTCGTTGTTAACAGTATTTTTTTTTATAATGAATGATCAAAATGATTCCGATAACTGTTGCACCCCCCAGACGTTGTCGAATTGACTAATGGAAAATCAGGAAGCAATACAATATAGCGTACAACAGTTTTTATTTGTTCCACTAGTGCAATAACGAAATAATTTTTCCATCCAAAATGATGCAACAAAATACCTTTTTTTGCATGATCGTAGAAAGAATTATTAAAACATGTTGATAGTTTAGAAATTTGATATTTGTTCATAGTTTACTATTTATGTGTAACGTGTGGACGTTTTTGTAACAAATTATTATCACACAAACAAAAAAAAATATACTAAAACCCTGTTATAAAATATTGCATGGAAATTTGAAACATCTATTCAAATTCTATATTACATCGTTTGCATAGGGATTTGAATTTTAATTTGTGTCTATCTGTTTCAGGCATTTTGGGTCCAAATAAAAAAATATCTAAATTGTGAAATAACATTAAGTAATTAATTAAATTATCGACAATAATGGATAAAGTAAAAGATGAAATTGATATTGAACCCGTATATGTTAAAGGTGCTTTTGGATTATACAATATTAATGATTTAATGGAAAAAGTAAATTTAGATGGACATTATGGAATTAAAATAATAAAACACGATGAAAGTTATACTCGTGAATGGGATGAAAACATCATGAATCAAAGTGTATTTCATGTAGGAAGAGTTCTTTACAGGAATGATACTGAAGATATTTTAAATTTGATAAATATGTTTGCTGAGTATACCTACAAAGATTTAAAAGAGGTAAACAAGTGTAATACAGTTCCAAAAGTCATGGTAGGTGGAACTATTTGTCCAACTAGAAAAGAATTATTTACATACAAATCAAAATTTTTTGTTGCATTTGGAAGATACATTTTTGGATATGATGAAAATCACGCTATTATAAAGAAGGATAAAGAAGGAGTAGTGGAAGAAGACAACGAAGGTGAAGAAGACGAAGAAGATGAAGAAGGTGAAAAAGATTACTATTGGAAAGAAAAATCAAAAATAGATGAAAATAAAATTATCGTATCTGTTCCAATATTCACTCGTTCTAACTATTATGAAGATGAGTATGTTTATTCTTTTTTAATATATGATACAGATACTGGAATTCTTGATGCTTTCGGAATGTATAGATAACTGAAATAATGTAGTAACCTTATTTATATTAAAAAATTTGAAAATTGTGAATGAATTATGTGGCTAATAATAATAAAATAATATCAGAGATAAGATCCACCCCATTACAATACATACCTATGTGTCATTCTAAGATAATTTAAGTAAAGTGTATTCACCTAAGATGATTATATGTATAGAAAAATAATATTAGTTACATCAGAAAATATATATGTGCTAAGTAAACAATAGATTAGCTCTGCATACAAAGCAGTAAAATTGAAAGAACCCTTCGAATTAATTCTATTTTATTATTTTCCTCTAGCTAAGTATTAGAGACCCTACCGTAATTAGTGTAATTACTAATTTATTATACAGGATTGTACAACAAAATGTTTTTTATGTTCCATTTGATTGGTAAGTAACCATTTTTATTCTTTATAAGAACGAGTACAAGGTTCTAACCAACATTCCTTATTATGGCGAAAACATAAACCTTTTAAAGATTTATTACAATATCCCGAATAACTATTTTTTATCGCATATGAACACACATTATTACAATATTCCTTTGTATGATCGTTTATGCATAAATTGAAATATAATATAGTGGCTGCCATATTTTTCCGATTGGGAATTCATCCATTTATAACAAAACACGTTTCCAGGATTAGATTTACAAAAGTTTTGAATAGTTTTTATTACACTGATATGTAAAATGATTAATTAAGGTTTCATGACATCCTTCAGTCCTGCTTCCTGTACAATATTCGTATATAGGTAAAGATTTTCATAAATTGGAGGACATAAATCAAAAGTTCAAAAGTAGAAATTTCAAAAAAATCGAAAATTCGAAATATATCGAAAAACTTAGAAATCAAAAAATTAATTAAAAAACTGAAAATTCAGAAAATCGACAGCAGACAAATTGAAAATCCGAAAACTCGATAATTCGAAATTAAAAAATTTAAAAATCCTGATTTCGAAAAATTGAAATGTAGAGAAATTGAAAAATCTAAAAATTGGAAATTCGAAAATTCTAAAAATCAAAAATTCAAAGTATCGAAAAATCAAGACAATCAAAAATTTGAAAGTCGAAAATTCGGAATATGTATCGAAAAACAGAAATCGAAAAATTAAAAAATCCTGAAATCCTTCAGTTAATAATAAAAGATCATAAATTTATCTGTAATCTCAAAATCATGAATTTTAAAATGTGAAAGTTTTTTTATTACCAACTTAGCTGTATAAAAATAAGCTCTAGAGGAGAATTTAATTCAGCTGATTGTTTTTTTAATTTTTGAACAAAGAATGGGTTCAATTTTTTTCAAGGTTAGTTAATAGAGAATTAAAAACTATTAAAAGACTTTGATTTTGCTGAACATCCCAATTCAAGTTCAAAATTTAAATTTTTCGCGGATTTTAAAATTTGTTTACGTCTCTCATTTTGGCGGGATCTTTGGGGTTACAAATATTACGTATTTAAGAGTTTTGCGGAATTCCATCCCAATAAACAATGAATTCTATGACGTTGTGGTGACCGAATTTAAATCAAAGTTTTCGCGCTGAATTAATTGACAACGGCGCGAAATCACATTTGAATAATTTTAATTAAAAAAAAAAAAAGAGTTCAATCACAAAAAGGAAATCCTTAAACATAGGCAACCAAATATGCATGGATGGTCTAATGCACGTAGCGCTTAGGAGTTAGTTTGCATGATCTTTGGGTTAGATGGCAGCACGTAGCGCTAGGGTAATTTCAGTTAGAGGGTTGGTAGAAAAACGGCATGGTAGGGCATTACGAATGTGGCTGTGTGTGTGTGACCACGTGGTAAGAACTAGGTTTAAATTAGTTGGTTTGGTAGTTAATAAAACGGGAGGAAGCCTTTGTTTAACGACGATCAAACGTATTTTTCATAATGATACAGTTGTCCCCAACCCGCGCGTTAAATTCTTGCGCCCTTTTAATCGAAAATTGCAGACTTCCGGTCGGACGCGAACACGTGTTGTGAATCTGTTTCTTTGTTTGTAAATTCACCAATCAAGCTAGTTTTTCTTAATAGTCAGCTAGTGCAAACACAATTTAACAATCAGGATTATTTAAATTAACCATTTGCTAGAAGATTTCATGAAATTCACTTAGTCAGGAAAAACACCTTATGTTTAATTACGAATAGGTCTCTGGATGCATATACGTAAGTGTTACATTATAACACTTCTAAATTCTTCACACAAGATTGCTAATAGTTCATTTACGGCAGTTAAACAAGTTCATTATACTGCGGACTGGCGGGGGGTTATGATATCTTCTCCCCTTAGGTGGTTATCATCGTTATCACGATTAATTCATCGGGGCATGTTTCGCAACGCCAGATTGATTAATTAATTAAGGCATGCCCCCAACGCTACAGAAAATTTACATCACCGAGACGCTTTTTCCTCGCAACGATTTTGGAATTTATATCCCCGAGACGCTTTTTCCTCGGAGCGATGATTGGATATTTTTGTATTTGTTTATTATGTGTTTTGTTGGGGTAACCAGTTCGTAGTATTTTAAACTCTCAAAGTAAATTATTTTTGAAGTAACCAATCCTTTAGTTCATGATATAATTTGGCATAATGTAAACTCTTTGTTTGAACCGTTGATAAAGTGTGGCAAATATTAATCTCCTGTAAATTTTGGTAACTCTGCAATCTTCCACCTCATACTACATTTCTTTAATCTCACAATTTTAACCTCAATAATTTTATTTGTTGTATAAATTTAATTGAACGTAAATTTCATGTTCTACAGTTTTAACCTCACATGATATTTCTATTTGTACAAGCTTATTTCACATCAGTTCTTTGTTGCATAGATCCTTGCTAAGTTTTGTTTTGTAAATACTTTGCTGATGAATGTTTCTATCGTATACATTATTTGATGTCCAACTTTAATCTCACATAAGAATTATTGGTTGTTTAAAATTTCACAAGGTTGTATGGCGTATATAAATGTTGTTTATTGCCCTTTGAAACTTTAACACTTGTTCAGTTGTTGTTAATATCAGAGTTATAAGAGATTGAATATTTTAAAATGGAATTGAGGTTAAATAACATAGAAAACGTGGCAGAAGCGAGGTTCGGTTCCTAGTCGAGCTGGCGAGATTTATCGTGCCACCTGTACAAGTCCTCAGGTTTGGATAGATTCAGGGGCGGCCGCCGACGTTGTAAATTTCTCAGCTCCTGTACATAGCTTAGATCTCTTGCGGGTTGGACGACCGTAATGGCCTAGTTCCGCAGGGCAAAGTTCGTCATGGGATATGCGTGTGGGGGTAGGCTTTGCGATAGATAGAATCACCGTCGCGGGGGGGAGAACAGTTCCAGACCGGTAGCTCAGACTCCGCTTATGCCACAACGCTCCAGGGGTACTTTTCTTGTGCTCCTGTTAACTGCCGTAACAAAAAAAAAGGAAAAGGAGATCGGCCGCCACACGCCTGTAATAACTTGTGTACTTGCATCCAGTTACTTGATTCAGCTTTTGCTTTGTTTTACTAAATTTGTGATATTCAAATATTTGCATTGATTCCAAACAGATGTACAGAATTTCCGTTTGTTCGTTTTTCATAGGTGTATGTCTGTCAATTCGCGAGTGTTTTTCTTTCACATATCTTAAGGTGTTTGAAATGTAATATTTATGTCGTCCGGGAATAAAAACCAAAGGGGGTTTTTGCGCTGAGGAGTAAATCTTCGAAGCGCCTTTCCCCCTGTGAGGGTGCCGTACTCGCCCTCCAAAACAATTTTGTCTATTATTTCTTGCGCTCTCGACAGTGTATGCACTTGTATGAAAGAACGTCTTCCCGCAATTTTTCAAAACAAAAAAAAAACACAACGTAGGTTCTCATTTGTTAGACGATCACCGCCAAGGCCAAACTTTGAATTTTTGAATTTTTCGCGGGCCTTTCAAACTGTTTCAAGGTCAAATTTTAAGGCGGGAAGATTGGGTTATCACAACGTCATTTCAAAATTTTGATGGGTAAATTAAATCATATATTAAATTTTATAAAATAATATACATGTGGCCTCAGGGTTTATTAATCCGCCTTTATTTTTGTGTTTGTTGACATCTAAGTAACATGTCAATTGACTGTTTTGTCTGTCTCATGATACAAGTAAATATGGTATGGACATACGCAGGTTTGCTGACGTCACCTGGCTGTATTCAGGCGGGAAATTGAAATATTTACCGAGCCCAACTAAAGTCACTAGATCTACTATTACTTTTAGAAAGTACGGCAAACTGCCTGTGGTCGGAATTCGACAGAGAGGAACCTAACCTATGTGTTAAACAAAGATAGCGCGAGGCTAGTAATTTTCGCTATCTGTCAACGAAAGGTTGATGTGTTTACGATTTGAGGTTACGACAGACTGTACTAGAATTATTGAGTTAACGGACCGGAAAGAACACTATTCCAGTCCCAAAGTAACTCCAGCCCTATTCAACGAGAAAGTGTCACCGGTAACCAGCAAACAGTCGTGGAAGACGTGTTACCACCAAGGCAATTGACGGCCAAATGACAGTAACAGGATCGCCATACTGGAAGCAAAAAATACCTGCTGTCGAAAAGACGGAGCATAACAAGGACACATATATTTTCTTATTATTTGCTATCATCCCCGCTATTTTTTTAACAACGCTAGGTCGCTAGCAAACCACCAATTTGTTTTTACGCATCAGTTTGGTAACAATAAACAATAACCCTCATAACCACAAAAACTCATAACTGCCTCATAACCCTTAAAATTGATATTTGACATCAGATGTCAACACAGAAGTGGAAGGTCATTCATTCCACATGACGTCAGATAACGTTGCGCAGAAGAAGACGAGTTTTGGTTCATGGGATGTCCATACCATATTTACTTGTATCATGGTCTGTCTATGGTCTGTGGTTCTGTAATGTCAATGATGTGCATACTCTGGTGCTTACTGTCAACAGTGTCAACAACTTTTCAGGTTATGTTGACATATTTATGTATCAAAATCAAACATCGATAATTATCACTAGTAATAAGAATAATACGACTTGTGTGTTCGGTTAATTGGATTGCTGTTTTTGATAGAAAATACAATAAAATGAGTTGTAGAATATGTCTGTCTGAAACGACGCAATCTGAAAGTGTTAATATTTTCACAAAAGGTCGGAGTAATGAAACAATATCCGATTTGATAATGAATTTTGCGTATATCGAAGTACGTATCAATTCATGTATGTTTATCATTTAAAAAATGCAATTTTTAGGTATTTGAAGAAGATAATCTGCCAGATGTAGTTTGTCTGTTATGTCTTAACCATTTAAACAAAGTGTATGAATTTCGAGATTTAATTATAAAATCCGATGCACACTTAAAGGAAATGCGAAATAAGATACCATTAGCAAGTGAAGATGAAAATAACTGCATTAAAAATGTATCCAATGAGCAAACACAATTTAGTCAAAATGAACAATATCAACCCATGGTACAATGTGTGGAGGCACCCACAAATTTTGTTTCACTTAACGACGTGATGGTTTGTGAAAACAAAAACGTGACACAAAATGAAACTAATGATTTTAAAAATAAAAGAGTAAGTTACTCCATAAATGATGAAGATGACGTGAGAAATTGTCGAAGAGGAAAAACCAAAAAGTACAAATGTGATCAATGCCAAAGTAGTTTTAAGAATAGATACAAGTTAATCTTACACAAAACTGTACATACAGGAATATTTCCTCATAGTTGTGATATTTGTAACAAAGGGTTTCCAACAAATTGGTCTATGAATGTGCATAGACGAATACACTTTGAGGAAAGACCATTCCAGTGTGATCTCTGTGATAAATCATTCAAGTAATGCTACAATACACACCTAACATACTTTACATATAATTTCATTTTCAGAAGTAAAAGTGCTCAAATAATTCACAGAAAAATCCACTTGGGAATTAAAAGTTACCAGTGTAAAGTGTGTGGCAAACAGTTCGTACAAATGGGAGGTTTAAGAGCTCATCAATATACTCACACTAGTGAAAAACCTCTCGTTTGTGAGTATTGTGGAAAACATTACACCTCAAAGCGGGCTCTCGATAGACATTCCAGAATTCATAAAGGCACTCCCAATGAACCATGTCCAATATGTGGCAAAATGTACGCAGGCGACGTTAATGTGAAAATACACATGAAGACTGTACACGCTGAAGATAGAATACGCTTCCCATGTGAAGTTTGCAACAAAAGTTTCTCTTCAAAGTCTGTTCTCAAAATACATATGAGAATTCATGAAGGCATCAAACCATTTTCATGTGACTTGTGCGGTAAAAGCTTTAGGCAAGCAAGCGTCGCGACGCTTCATAAAAGGGTGCATACAGGAGAGACGCCGTTTACTTGTACATTCTGCGACAAAAAGTTTGCATACAAACACCACCTCAAAAAACACATGGAAAGAGATCACGTTAAGAAAGAGTTTAACGTGCAGTGTGCTTGATTTCATTTTACATACAGAGGCGACATGAACTAAATAATACATACAGTTCATAACGGGTAACCAAAAAGCTTTCAGATAAGACTTGGCCATGGAAACATTTGTCATGTCTTTGATCAAATACATAACCTCATTTATAATAAAAAATGTTGATTTTTTGACATTTACAGTTTAATCAAAGACATGAGAAATATTTCCATGGCCAACTCTAATCTGAAAACTTTTTGATCACCCGTTATTTGTTCAAAAAATGTTTGAGTTGTGGAAGGTTAAAACTGTTACGCCAAAAGGCAAAGAATGAATGTAATGTATTCTTGTAGTTATTTAGTAATTACAGTTGTACACAATTACATATAAAATTGTCTTGGAAGTTGGTAGTTACAAGGACTATCAATTTTGTACATTATTTTATCACTGTAAATAAAGATTAAAATTTTAAAAATATTTTGAAAGTACTTTTGACGTGATGAATGGAACATACATTCAAACTAAATATCAGTGACTGCATAATTTGTTATATTATTATTATTATGGATGGGTTGTTATTCAATTATGCCGGGTGTCTGGAAAATGGCGGATTAATTCTCCGCTACGTTCTTAACAATCAACTGATGAGCATATGAAAAATAGTAGAAAAATTCCTTTTCACATTTTGGTGAAGTTATAATGATTTTAAAATTGTTTCTTCTCATGGTCACAATAACTAATAATAAAACTTTTAGTTAATATTTCTCTCGCCCATGACCATGTTTAATTACCATTTCAATTAAAACGTACAAAGATATGGGTGTGTTGTTTTTGTAATACATAATTTGATAAAATTCCATTTGACAACAATGTTTGCCTGATATAAAGCGAAGGTATAAATCAGCAAAAATCGAGTACCTAAGCAGTTAAAAATGTTTGACGTATCAAAAATTGTCAGAGTTTTCAAAACCTTGCGTTTAAAATGTTCGCAGTTAATTTTAGGTCCCTTGGTCTTTTGTTTTCGGATAAATTTAAGGGAGTCTGATGTTTTGTTGCTGGATGAACTTGAAACAATTTTTTGAGCTTTTAGCGTTTTACTTTATACGTATCTGAAAAAATTTTGTGTGCCGCAGTGTTTGGGTACCCATGGTGCATTATTTTGGGAACCTGTGGAGATTTTTTTGTAAATTATTTAAAACAATTTTGGGAGACTTTGATGTTCTATTTTTGGGAAAATCTGACCTGACCAGTTTTTGAGTAAATTTTGAGACCCAGTCTTTTTTTTATTTTGAAAAATTTAAAACAATTTTGAGGTTCTAAGTATTCCTGTTTGGAAAGAATTTGAAAGTGCTTTGGAGCCTTAAATGTCTTTTCTTATAATAATTTAATTAAATTTCTTACAGAGGATAGTTCATTTGCTAAAATTAGTCTTATCTTAGCAGGTACTAACCCCGCCCACCCACCCTCTCTTTTCTTAGAGAGTAAGTCATTTGCGAAAATCAGTTTTATTTTAGCAAGTAGGTACTGAAAACTAACTTTTACAAAAAATTATCCAAAATTTGGAAAAATTACGAGAATTTTGAACGTATCTAGTATTTAATCGGTTATGCTTTAGTGGATTTTTCTTTTGTTGTTTTGGTTTATAATTTATAAATGTTATAAGTACTGTAATTCAGTCCATCGGCCGACTCTCTACTTTTACATTTTCTCGACCTTTCATAGCCCCTAGAGGACGAAGAAATAGGTCTCCCTAGAAAGTACTCGGCCGATTATTGTCAAATTTTGTATTTATATTAGGAATATCATGTGGATGGTAAAACCCTAACCAAAATTTATCTAAGCGTCTCCACCACTATTGCGATGACGTCACTTCAAAATTGTACATGGTAAATGGTTTTAAATTGTATAAAATAACATAGTCCTACACATATAGTTTATGACTCGGAATTAAGTTTGTACGCGAAACGTCCAGATTTTTGGAAAAAAAATCAAAATTCTGAAACAACATTCTGCAATTTAATTTGGAATCTGTAAAACCGAATGCTTTGAAAACTTGCAGATGGTTTACAGTTATGATAAGCATGATCAATTTTTGATCAAAATATATTTTCTTGCCCCCTTCAAAAAATTGATAACGTCAGCTCAAGAGTTTACCGAATAAATCCTATCTAAAATGTACAAAATATGATGAGTTTGTGCTTGTGATTTATCATTCCATTCATATTTTTGGATCTGTATATACAGGGTGACTAAAAAATTAATGAACGGGTGAATTCATTTAATTGAATTAATCAGGAACTACAAAACCGAATGCTTTGAAATTTTGGAGATGTTTTAAAGTTTATCATAGGCATGATACATTTTTAGTCAAAATGTATTTGCTCGCACCCCCCTTTAAAAAATTGATGACGTCACCTCAATATTTTGCTGAATAAATCCTATCTTAAATGTACAAAGTATGATGATTGATGAGACAATAGGTACCTGTGATTTTTCATTTCATTCATATTTTTTGGATTTGCATATACAGGATGACTCAAAAAATTAATGAGTGCGTGAATTTATTTTATTTATTTAATCAGGAACTACAAAACCAAATGCTTTGCAGTCTTGGGAGATATTTTAAAGTTATCATAAGCATTGTAAATTTTTAATCAAAATGTATTTGCTCATCCCCCTAAAAAATTCATGACGTCACCCCAACATTTTGCTAAATAAGTCCTATCTAAAATGTACAAAATATGATGAGTCTGTACTTGTGATTTATCATTCCATTCATATTTTTTAGATTTGCCTAAGACAGGTGGCTGAAAAAAATTAATGAATGAGTCAATTTATTTTATTGATTAAATCAGGAGTAGCTCACCCCATTTTCACGAAAATTTGGAGATACAACACTGTTATTATTAATATTACATTGCACCAACTCAGTTTGATAAACACAAAATTTTGTTAAGTAAAAACTCGTTTGAAACATAGGCGTAACGCGCTTGTTTACATTTACTTCAACATTACAGACATGAATTTGTTTTGTTGCGCTGACTAGGTTCCGTGAATGTGGTAGACAAGTTATAATCAACCAATTGTGAATTACACCATCAAAAATGAAAATAAAATCCAATGTTTTATATACATAATAAGGCGAAGTCGAACCAATATAAAAGTCTGGACGACCATCGGCATTGTTTGCAGTTTCTGTTTCACTCTCAAATAATGTTCGACCAATTTTTTTTTTTATTTTTTGGGACTACCGAAACCCCCGTACATAACGTACTGCAGACTTAATCCGCCACTTTCCGGTATTGACTATGCAGGGTTTTATGAAAAGACAACATACACTTATGAAAAAACAAATATATTGTAATCAGCCTTAGAACAAAACATACTTTATAATGATGAGAATAATTAAGATATTAAAAAGACCCTTTCAGTAAATAGAAAATGACAATTCTTGTCACGCTCTTTTATTACTTAATAAATAGAGTAGATATACGAGTAGTTACATTGTTGTGACGTCCCATCCGGAGTTCATTTTTGTAGATGGTTTCATCCGCAAGCGTTTTGAGTTCTTTATATTACCAGCTGAAGGTTCAATGGTATTTGGCAAGACATGTTTTTTATTTACCTTCTTCATCTTCCTCTTGGTTGTAACGTACGTATTGTCTACAACAATCTTCGTCGGTTCTTCACTGTTTACACTGGAGGCGCTTGGATGGCGTCGCTTCCTACTTATTTTTACTGGTTTTTCCTGAACTTCCGACGTTTCTGGCAATATGCATTCAATAGATTCGCTGGAGAACGTTTGTTTCGACTTTTTACTTTTACTCTTTAATTTCTTTTGTCCTAATTTAGGATCTTTGGATTGCTTCACTATTTTATCTGCAGAAGCTGTTTGCTCCAAAGTTGGCTTTTCTTCAGTTTCACTGGACGCGAAAGCTTGCGATAAGTTATGTGCTGTACTTGGACGGAAAAGTTTGCGTTTTTTATTTTTATTAACTTTATCTTCCGTCTCTTTCACTGGGTCTTGAGTAGCATCTTCAGCGAAACTGGTTGATTTCCTCCGTGGTATTTTCTTCATTTTTCTACCTGGAGATGTTTCTTCACTGGAGCTGCGCGAGTTGATTTTTCGTCTTTCTTTTGTCGTTAGAACAGTGGGTAATTCGTCTTGCAGATCTGTTACATCTTCTTCTTCTTCAACATCTGAAATATTTATCTCAGAATCCGAAGAATCAGAGTCTACATCTTCATCAGGCCTCCAAGACAGGTCATTAACATCGCTGTCTTCGAAAGATGCCGAAAATAAATTGTAGCTGGAAATGTTGCTTTCGTTGTTTTCTTCATCTTCAGATGTTTCTTCAAAACTTTCGCTGCTGTCTTCTGGCTGCATTTCTTTACTTGATTTGAATGGTGTAAGAGGAACTGGTTTTTTAACAGGGCTAGTCTTTTGCTCTCTCTGTTCAGTCAATTCGTTCTCAGATGCAGAAAGGTCGCCTGTAGATCTTCGCTTTTTGCCCTTTTTCGGGGACTTGCTTTTCTGTTCAGTATCAGTTGAAAATGAAACTTTTGGCGACGTTTTCACTGCAATGTTTTCGGATTGTAACGCATCAGATTTTCGTTTTTTACGTTTCTTCGCCGAACCGGTCTTTTCTCCTTCATTAATAATTGAAGAATTCTGTGATATTTCGTGGGGGCTGTCACTCGTTAGTTCAACCTCATTTTCGTTGGTGGGAGGTTTTTCCGGTGACTTAACATCGGCGTCACTAACACGACAAACTTTACGTCGCTTGCTTCCTTTTTCAGTTTCTACCACCACTTCGTTGAAGTCAGATGCTGTTAATGAAATATTAACCACATCTATGTTGCCACTCTCATCCTCAGAATCCGAAACATGTTCTGCGTACTCCATAGAAACATTAATGGAAAGATCAGATTTGTTTTTAATACTGGCGCAGAATAAATCAACAACTTTGTGTATGTGTCCGCTTAATTTTTCTTCTGGATCATCACCTGCCTTAATTGTTTCTTGTAATGTAATTGATCTCCGGTCTGAAGGGCGCTTTTTAAGACTACTGGTACTAAGGTTCAAATCTTTTTTCTCCTTCTTAATTTTGTTCTCTTCAGGTTCGGCAGTTATAGTTTGATTTACAGCTTCGGTATCGTCTTTGCCAGAGGGTTCATCGAAAACTTCATTACTATCCTCTCCATCAGTCAATTCTACAACTTCTGAACTGGACTCGGATCGATTCTTTTCTTTTTGTGTTTTTCCGTGCGTTGCTATGGAATATTTCGAATCTAATTTATCAACGCTTGTTTCTTTCTGCGGGGTAAATGTTTCATCACTTGAATCTGAGTCACACAAGCTGACCCAATTTTCTTTCCTGCTTCTCTTTCCAGGGGAAGCAGCTTTATTTTCATTGATAGTTTTAACTTCTAAATCTAAATCTTCATCAGTACAACTTTCGCTCACGCTAACAATTTCTTCAATTTTTATTTGTCGTGGAACTTTAGAGCCATTTTGGCTAGAAACGATAATATGTTCTTTTTCTTTTAATATCACTGATGGAATGTTGTCTGTGTCACTAGAAGATTCCTCACTATTTACAACTTGTTCTTCAGTGCAAGATTTTTCACTAGGGTCTTTCTCAATTTCCTCTTCTCTGTCCTTGTTTAGGGATGTTTTTTCTTCAACTGTTGAAGGTTCTTCAGGTTCAACAATTGGCTCATCGTTAGTCACAGTGACTGCTGTTTCTGAAATGTTACTATCTTTAGAAGGTTCAGATTCTCTAGGCGCTGTTTTTTCTTGGAAGGAATCCGATTTACGCTTGATAGATGGAACTTTAGGCGAAGTGCTACTATCTTTAGAGACTGCAGGTTCTTGGAACGAATCTGATTTACGCTTGATAGATGCAACTTTAGGTGAAGTGCTACTATCTTTAGAGACTGCAGGTTCTGTAAGTTCTGTTTGTTCTTGGAACGAATCTGATTTACGCTTGATAGATGCAGCTTTAGATGGTGTTTTCCTTGGGCTTTTCTCCTCTGCAGCGTCTTTGACAAGATGGTCGCCTGACGGTTCAGTACTTATTTTTTCTGTAGCATTGTCCATAACATCAGACTCGTGATTTTCTTTGCTGGGACTAGATTTAACACTTTCAATAGGTTCACATACCTGCGTGGATTTTTCAATTTTGGTACTAGAACTCACATTTAAAGATTCTTTGTCAGTACTTTGTTCCTCAATCCTAATTTCAGTAGACTTATTCAGTTCACTTTTATTCTTTGTTAAACTTGCTTCATGGGTTTCTTCAACTTTTTTTTCGGATTCTGGAAGTTCTCTGGATAAATCCTGGACTAGTTTACTTTCTTCTACTACTTCACCCTCAGTCATGCTAACACTATTTTTTTCCACTTGCTCTGATACTTCCCCTTCGGCGTTTTTAGTATCATTCACGTTGTCAGATTCTTTCAAACTTAGATTCTTTTCATTTTTTCCATCAGTCTTTCCTTGTTTATTTTTGGGCGAATTTGCAAGAATTTTTTCAGACAAAAATTCAGCCATTTTATCAGTTATTTCTGCAGCAACTTGTATTTTTTTATCAACTTCGTTGATTTCGATGTTAGCAGATACTTTGGGAGATTTCAGAATTTTCTTCTTAACAGGTGACGATTCTTCAAACACTTCATCAACCTCCATTGGCTCACACACAGACTCCTTAGGAGAAATATTCTCTTTATTGTTTGCAACAGATTTATTCTGATCACCGTTTTCTAAAGGAGAAAGCTGCAAATTAAACGAACTCTCTGACACGGTTAAATCAAGTTTTTCGGAGACATAATTTTTTTTATCAGGGGAACCTTCCTTTGTAACTTCACTATCAACATCTGGTTCGTTCTTTGAAGATATTTTGATTGTTTCCTCCGTATCCACTTTCTCTGATGTATCTTCACTTTTTGCAGTTTCTAAAACATCTTTTTCGTTGCTAGATTTTTTAGGCTGATCCTCCGATTTGTCCATAAGTGCAGATTTCTTGTGTGGACTAAGCTCTTCATCTGTTAGACTCGCTTCGTTAATTATGCTAAGATCAAAATCAATTTTGCTGACTTCAGTAACCCTTCTTTTATACTTTTTGGATGGCGTGCCACTCGGGGATTCGACCTCTTTATTAGCTTCTTCAATAGATTCTAGTACATCAGTGGTACTTGGAGGAGACGATTTTTTAATTGGAGTGCTAGCTGGAACATCCGCGTTCTCGTTCTTTTTAGTTGCAGAACTACTTCGAGATCTAGTAATTTTCTTAGAAGCATCTTGACCGTTTTCAGAATCTTCAGTAATAGATCTTCTACGTCCTGTTGCCTTTTTCACTTCTGGAACTTGGTCAGATTCTTTTGATGAAGATCTAGCTCTTGTTTTTGCAGTAGTTTCTACTGGTGTCTGAGCATCGTTGCTTTGCGTTAGTGAACCTAAAAGGAAGACATGTAAACAAAAATTCCAGAAAATTGTAAATATTAAACGTACTTCTTCTAGTTCTGACAGTTGAAGTTGTTTTTTTCTTGTCAGCTTGTGGGTCTTCACCGGGTTGTATTTCTTGACTGAATGAAGATCGTCTGCTTCTGGTTACCACCGGGGTAGACGTAGACGTTTCAGAAGCGGAATTTCTTCGACTTATCACTTTAGTAGGAACTGGGGAACTATTATTTAAACGACTTGATCTTCGAAGAGGAGAACCAATTACTGGTTCTTCTTTTTGTAATTCTCTCACGGGGGTCTTTCTAGGCATTTTTGGACCTAAAATTTTTAAATTCTAAGATAAGAGCAGGAAATAAAATATTTAATAAATAATAAAGCAAGTACATAAAAACTATGTACTAGCTTTAACAAATACAAAAACCACGATTTTTTAATCACTCTTATATTGAGGTACGGTGAAAGACAGGTTCGGTTAAATTTTGATGAAACTGTAACATTTTTTGGTGTGATCAAAATGACCCTATTACAATACTTCCTTAGTTTATTATGCTCGGTAACTAAAATGTTAATTTTAACTGGTGTTAACATTATAACTACATATGTCGAATTTTGTAAAAATAATCACACCAACAAAAATTTTAATTTTCAGAGAAGGTTTGCTGCTATAAAGGTGTTAACATATTAGGACCATTGAGTCTGTGGAACATTCGCAGCATGTCAATGATGTTGCGCCGCTTTTGTTTAAAAACAGCATTACTATTTCATTCACTAATAAGATTTATTATTCTTCGTCTTCTAAAACAGACCAGTAATTTAGACCACAAAAAAATACTGTAATCAAATCCGGGGTATATATTTTGATAATACTTCTAAATTATAGTTAAACACATTAGGTGCGTCTTAGTTCTGTATCTTCAGGAGTTTAGGAAACGGCAAAGATTTTCGTTTTGCTAACAGAACCCAAGACAAATTGTACATACGGGCTAAAAGGTAAAGGAATCATTTACTGATACCTTAAGGAAAACAAACAGAAGTTTGATTCAGAAATGTGTATTAGACCATGAACTGTTAAAACAAAATTGACACCAAAATTCTTACCTGAACTGACATATATTAAACTCACTTGCCATACACCTAGTAAAACTTTTGACTTAAACAACTTAAGCCAAACCAACCTTATAAGTCAAACTGTTTTTTTTTCCTTTGTTTTTGTAAGCTTTGTGAACCCGAATCGCAAGGATTATTACTGTCCATTGTTGCCACAATGGAGCTGTAAAGTTTTATTATGTATAGATCAACTGAGTTAAGTTATACAATAGCAAGTTTGACTTATAAGGGTGGTTTGGCTTAAACCACTTAAGTCATAAAAATTTTACTACGTGCATGTCAAGTGAGTTTAGTATACTAGATAATTAATTAATTATTGACAGTAATTCAAAAATAAGTAACAAAATTTTCAAATTTTTATAGGAGGAGTATTAAATTGTACTAATTCCCTTTTTATAAAAGTATAATAAACAGGTTTCTCGAATACAATTTATAAACATACACATTAATTACTTAGGAAAACACATCTACATTTCTCCGGCTTTAACTAAGCGTCCCTTGTTGATTAATTTTGACTTTTGAATTTCATGGAGAATGTTTCGACAAGGATCGGATCGCCCGTCCACCTGTACTCACTCTTCTACACACTTGATGGTAAAACTGGGTACAGATAAACCAAATCATGTAGAAGTTGTGCTTTTTATATCATAATATGTCAACTGAGATAAAATATTGTCATATTTTACAATCATATAACTCTGGAAATAACATAAGAAAAAATGAACTATAATTTCCATTTGCCGTTTTCCTTGGTAAGTACTTCCCATTAGGTTATATCAAAAACGGGGCTGATGCAAAGCAAAGAGTAAGCAAGACTCCTGTCATACTACTAAGCTTTTAAATAAATACACTGAATAATTATACATATAGCAAAACATGTAAACTGTCAATAATAATCGGCGCTGTATCAATAAATGGTGCCTTTACCTTATCTTAAATATATTGTTGTTACATTTGGTGTAGACAAATCACGGATTGAAAGTTTTGTTTCCAACTTTATTGATTGGTCAAAAAAAAAACACTACAAAGCTAAAATGTGAAGAAAATCTTTTAGACAAACATTAGTTTGTTTAATTTCATCATCTAAACATTATGTAACGTCACAGAACAACCCGTAGCGTATGGATTTGACAAACAGGCTGCCCTGCGCAAGACGCACAAGCATGTATCAGCCGAAGAAAAAAACAGAAACAGAATCATTATTTGTTGCAATAAATTTCTATTGTTTACGATAGTGTGAAAAGTTTCGCTTCACGAAAGTCTGTTTCTCATCTTCATCCACGAGGACCAAGCTTTATTACCCTCGTATCATATCATATCTTGGCTAACGCCTCGCTGTTATATAATATATACATGTATAGCTAAATTGGTTTAAAAAAACTTGCAAACTCAAAATTCCATTAATATAAACGTAGACCTCGGCAAAAAAATTTCTATCAGGGTGTAGTCCGTTTGAACAGTAAAAAACAGAATTGCATCTTTTTTTTGAGTTATCCTGTACAAGCAATTCTAAAAAATATGAATACATCGATACACCACAAGTATAATAGGCTTATAATAATTTGCACATTTTAGACAAGATTGATTCGGCAAAAATTTGAGATGAGGTCATCAAGTTTTTAGGAGAGATAATAGGAAATATACTTAAAGATTCATCATGTTTATGATAATCTTAAAATGTCTGCAAGCATTCGGTTTATGAAAATGTAAACTGTTGTTATTTTTTATTTGATACAATCCCCGTAACTTTTTTATTTCTAACTGCCCATTCACAATGGACATAAGACATAAGAACGAGCGCATAACATAATTTACGCTTTTGGTTTGTGTCTGGCTTATGTTTATCTACGTTCACAGTGGACAGAGTGAACTCTGTAAGAATTGTTAAACTGCGCAAGCGCAGAACGGAATAACTCCCGGCTAAACATAGAAACGGCTAACTTCAAACTGAGTCAATCAAAATATCTAACCTACAATTTCATACGATATTCGAAGTTGACAACTCGCAGTACAAAACAGACTCGCAGTGTGAAGCTTTGATTATAATTTATATAATATAATCAAAGGTGTGAAGTGCCAAGTGCCAACTGTCAAAGGGAATTCAATAGCAGCATTCAAAAGTCCCTAGGTTTTAACATAATTTTGACATAATTCGTGCACAAAGTTGAACTTATTTCAACTTTGTGTACGCACACAAGGATTACATAAAACGTTCATAAGCATAAGAATTACGTTCGTCCACTGTGAACAGGGGTATACGTTTTCCATCGTTTCAACTTTATGTATTTATGTAAGCTTTATGTACTTGTTATGCCTTATGTCCATTGTGAATGGGCAGTAAAGATAAACATAGTTGTTGGAGGAAATTTATATCATTTTAAAACATCACTTAAGTGAATAAATGACATGAGTGTCAATTTTTCAAGCTACTAGGTTGTCATCAATAAATGTGAATTTTTCGTCTATTTCATTTAATAACTGTTTAAGTAATGATTTTAGAATATTGGATGTTTTTGATTTTTTACAAAAAATCAATACTTCCATTTATGAAAAAATATACCCAGCGTTCCATTAAAAAAATAAAGTTGACGTCACTTCCGGTTCTACCTGAAGTAGCAATAAAAATGTGAGTTTGCCATCACATAGATCTTTTAAAATGATACAAATCTTCTCAAAGAACTACAGGTTTATCTTTAAGAATAAAAAAGTTACAAGGGTTGTATCAAACAAAAGAAACATCCTGTAGAGTTACCATTTTTTGTATATCTTAGATAGGATTGATTCGGCAAAATTTTGATTAACGATTTACCACGTTTACAATAATCTTAAAGCGTTTGCAAGAGCATCAGTTTCGAAGTTAAACTGCAAAATGTTATACAATTTTGATTTTTTTCCAAAAATCTGGACGTTTCGGGTAAAAACTCCATTTGGAGTCATTAACTACATATGTAGGATTATGTTATTTTATACAATTTAAAACCCATTTAGTATACACAATTTTGAGGTGACGTCATCACATCGTTGGTGGGGACGATTAGGCAAACTTTGGTTAGCGTTTTATCATCTACATGAAATTCCTAATATGTAGTGGTAGCCAAAGGATTTTTTCAAGAAATTTAGTTGTGTAAACGTAACATCGATGTATTGAGAAAGAAAGCTCGGCTGAGTTATATTTCTTTCAAAAACAATTAAAAATTTCTACAAAAGAATAGAGACAACCATTTAATAAAAATATATTCATATGTTTGGTAAAAAAATACTTACGTAACAATAAATTATCATAGTCTATTACAAAAAAATTTTAGTATTTTTAATTATTATTAAACGAATTTATAATGTGAGGGATTATAGCATGCGAAAAAATTTCACAAATCCTGCATTATAAACCAGGATCATACGCTATTTTATAGTCGGCTAATCAACAGTTAAATCTTTAGATAAAAGTGGGGATAAAAGTCTGAGAACTAGCAACCCAGTACTATAGTTATAGTTTTGAAAATTTCATTGTAACCTATAAAATTTTATTGGCAATAACGAGACAATAGCAAGAGATATTTACAACTTAAGTTGTCGCGTGCCGGTAATCCCCAGATGTTAGAAAGCAGAATAATCCAGGTCCGGACAGGGACCATCGTTACTCATGAACGGAAATGACCATTATTTTGAGGACAACTCCCTGCTAAATGTTCTCAGACAAATTCGAGTGAACTGGTATGAGCCATAAATATTTCTTACCATTGTACTACTGTCCGTCTCGTTATCGTCAATAAAATTTTATAGGGTAGAATGAAATTTCCAAAACTATATATAGTTTTTAATTTTCTGGCACAATTTGTTAATACCGTAAACTCGAATTATAATAAGGCTTAACGTTTTCTGTCTTTAACCCCGAAGTAATAATAACAGTTCATATTTTAACACAATTGTCGTTTATAGAGCGAGCTGTACGCTTTTTCATAGAATACGCCTGTAATTATGTGATTTTGACGTTAGTTGGTGTTTTCTGTTTTAAACAATAATTTTATTAAACTCATGTATCATAATTCAGCATTAACACACCTTTAAATTCATTTTCTATAATGTCAACGCTAATAAAATAGAAAATTGATATTTTAATTAACACCAATAAATATGTTAATATTTGAAAGTCGGATTACACTCAGCATTTTTTTAAATTTTCATGGCCGCTACCGCGCTTCCACGATATTTGTAAGACCAAACGGACAGACAGAAACGGGGACCTATGTTTCCGTATTCTAGGGGTCATGAAACGTCGAGAAAATATGTAAGTAGCGAATCGCCCAATGGACTTGATTACAATAGATAATTACCGAAAGCACGTTCCGTAGAACGTCCAGCACGCAAAACGTAGAAAAAACTGTTATATCTATGGAAACATAGAAAATGCAGTGTCCCTATTGGCAATTGTGTACGTTAACGGATAATACGTTGTACGGAACGTAATTTCTCTAATTGTCTATTATAGTTCCTTATTAGCTTACGCTCGGCAAGTAAAAATCATTATGACAATCAGACAAATTTTTATTAGCGTTTTATCACCTACACGATGATCCTAAAACGCATATAAAATTTCAGAATATTCAGTCAAACCAAAAAAATTGCAGCCAAAACTTAGTGGCAAAGAAACGTCGACTCAGAGATGTGAGTTTAGCCGCAATCCACTTTGGTAACAATTTTGGTTACTTATATATCAAGTCGTTCTATTTTGACACTTAAATGTTACCATTTTTTTGACAAATAAAGTGTATGCTATTGTTGCGAACCCACTTTTTAAGTTTTGTTTACGGCTTTAGTTTCGGAGATTATCTGTCTAATAAATCATCCACAGACCACGGACAGACGGAAACTGGAGATATCTTTTTTTACACACTAGAAATCATAAAATATTGAGAAAACATGAAAGTAGCCAGGAAGTAAAAAACAAAGATATAACAAGACGTGATGTTTTTTCTTTTTAGTAAATGAGGAATTGGTATGTTTAGTTCTATATACACAGATTATACATACTGATTTAACTACTTGATAACAAAACAACGGATTCATTAATGCAGACATGATATGAGTGGCGACGACCATTAATACAATTTTCCAGAGGAATTTTTTGATAATACCTAGAACTGTTCAACAGCTGGAAGTAAAAGAATAGCCTTTACCTTTACCTGAACTACCTGGCTGGACCAAGACCAACGATCACCTAAGAATTGCTATTATTCGTTTTACACAATGCACACAAAAAACATAACCTACAATGCATAAGACTATTCATCTAAAATAACTATAATATCGACTAATTAAAACCAAGTAATTTTTAATTTCATGACTCTTGCAACTGACACTAGTTTTTTAGCAAATAATTACTGTTAAAATACATTCATTACATTGAATGTGAAAATCATTGGTTCATATTGACAAGTTTGTAAATCTTGTAGTCACACTTCGCTAAAAATTTTTGAACAAATGATGTCCTTTAGTCGAAGTATTTTTGTAACTGAGCTTTCGTTTCGAATGGATTTTTTATAAACTGAGTATTTTTCTGGAACACTGAACTAAAAGTGAAAGGGCGAATCGTTTTAAGAAACGATTTCTCACCAAAATCATGACCTTTAGTAAGTCCCTATGCACACAGGTAATAATTGTTTAGGTAATTTCTTTGTGTAGTTTATTGGCTCCAGTAGTTTTACCATAGGTCACCGGAGTTGACCGGTTTTTAATAAAAACGTTACTCCAGGATGTAAGACAGACACGACTCCTTTTGTAATCTGAGATTTACGGTCTTTATGTATGTTTTCACGTTACATGCAGCATGCAGCCTTTTTCTACCCTCAGAATGAAAAAATAAATGCAAGATGTTTTTTAAGCAATACCGTTGGGGCATTTCTAGTATGAACGACGCATACCACATCATTAAAACAGTTTTAAAAGGATGATAAAAATAAATGTTACTGCAAAATTATTGCCTTTTTATTACATTCACCACCGTGTACCTCGCCGGCAAAAAAAAATATTCGTTTGAAGAACTAATGCAGTAACGATCAACCTACCTTATAAAAATAACACTGGGGTGCAAAACGTAACACTAAAATTTACTTTAAATAACAATAACCGCTATCACAAGAATTTTAAAAAAACAGAAAATTAAAAATCACGTGTAAATCTTGCATGTCGTATTTCGCCGTGGTGCAGATGGTGTCTTTGATTTTCGGCTTTCTTCGTCGTTTCCAACGGACAGTTGCCCCACCATAACTATTGATCTGAATAAATGAGAGCGCGATTCTCAAATCAACATCGAAGTGTGACAGCAGCGGTAGTTTCAAAGATCACAGTATTTTGTATTAAAAATTAGTTGTTATGTTGTTAATCAATTTTTAACACTTTTTGTAGACTTTTCGAATGATAAAGCACCATTATTCCAACACAATTTACTTGGGAAAATAATAATTTAAAAAATTTCTTGCGTTTCAGACATATTTGATAGAAAATAATATACTATTTCATACTGGAAATGCCTCAACGGTATAGCTTAAAAAAACATCTTGCATTTATTTTTTCATTCTGAGGGTAGAAAAAGGCTGCATGCTGCATGTAACGTGAAAAACATACATAAAGACCGTAAATCTCAGATTACAAATATAAAAATCCAAATTAAGTTTAAGAATAAGGACACAGAACAAGTGTGCAGCAGTAAAGATAAGGTCATGATATGAAAATAAATAACGAGATAATAACACATAATAATCAAATCTTGTCAATCGTCATCATCGTCATATTCGGATATCTATTTTTATTATATTTGTGGGTAAACTTTGCCCTTGAACCGCTTGCACGCCTGTGCAAATATCGTTGCGCATGTGTATAATAATGTATTGCGCAAATTGAAAATTTAAATTGAAATCCTATCATGGTCGATATAAACATTTTTTCGCGAGTCTACCATTGTGGTTAGACTCGCAACATTTATTGTATTAAGTTTAGGTTTTCGTCTCGTTCATCTCAACTTGGATCAGTCATAGCTTAGGATGTACAAAAGAAGTTATTAAATGTGTTTTAGAGACCGCAAAAATCTGAGAAGAAATCTCGAAAACTCCCCCACGTGCTTATATTGAAGTAACTATCGAACTTATATTTATTTTAAACGGATCGAAAGGAAGTAGTCCAATGCCGTATTGTTGCAACTTTTTCAAGTAAGGTATGATCTTGATCTGCTAAAGTGGACTAATTTAGTTCGAACGTTAGGTGTTTATTTTCATCAAGGTTTGGGCTTTAAAGCCCATCTTAGTCATATTTTGCTGCTTATTTATTGCAGCTGAAAAGTACTGTACTCATCAAGGTTTCTTGCAAATTTTAAAATTAGAAAAAAATTGTGTGAGTCCTTAATCTTTTCAGTTCTTTTATGTCATTATTATTTGTGCATTTATCATCTCTGCTTAACTTCTACCCATAAAAACCCTGCGTAGAAAATTTAAAATGCATGTTGTTGTTTTATAGATGGCACTAGAAAATGTGATCATATTTTGATAAAATTGAAGGCATTAGTTGAGCATTTTCAATATGTACAATTTTCACTTGTTAACCACTTTATACCGGCCCTTGATTTCTTCAACACCAAAATATATACAAAATTTCAGGTCACTAACCTTTCAACAAAATCACATCGTACCAGTTCTGAAAAATATTTATCTTATTCAAAAACAGTCAACTACCTTATTAAAACTTTGTTTTTTTTCTAATTCCGGTAAAATTGCTTTTGGTTATATCATTAGGAAAATCTTTTAGCTTCAAGGTTTCTATTTTAGTGAAGTTGTTTTCCACATAGTTTTCCCGACGTATTATTATGCTAAGGAAGTATTTTAATAAGGCTTATCCGGCGAACTACTAATTTCTTTTTTTTTGACGTTTTATAACCTTAGAGTATGAAAAGATGGGTATCCCGTTTTCATCTGTTTGTCAGTGGTCTGTTGGCGATTAGAGTTAGACAGGATGATTTCTGAAACTATTGGACTGATTTTTGTAAAGTTTTATATGTAGATATTTTCGGAACATCGTGTATAAACGCTAACCAAAATTTGTCTAAGATTGCCTATTAATTTGATAACATCATCTCAAAAATAAACCTTCCTTAGATTTTAATAATAATAATAATAGTTTATTTACGGGAAGACCCATTGTATTACACATAAACAAAAATATAAGAATAATACAAAAAATATATATAAAATAAGATACTTGTATACCTGCGGCTAGACATCCGCCTTTATTTTTTACCTTAGACCTTCAGATCTTGAATATCACAAGTGTATAACAAGATTTTACAATTTAACTTAGAAATTGCGAAATTAAATTGTCTGAAAGGTTTAAAGTAAATCGCTAATCAAAATTTATGTGTCTATATCCTCCAAAAACTTGGTGACGTTATCTTAAGATTTTGTTGAATAAGTTTTATCTAAAATGTACAAAATATAATCTAAATACACTTCCGTTTTATTACTGCATTCACTTTTTAAAACTGCTTTAGTAACTAAAAAATTAATAAATAAAAGACCGGCTTATTTCATTTTCCTGAAATTTTGGGAATAGAGTACAGTCCTGTTGTTGTTATTATTATTACACTGTAACTATGTAAATTAACATATTGATGTCGTCATCACAACATTCTATTATGCAAAGCTCACTTGAAACATAAGCAAAACACGTTTCTGTAGTTTAACAGTCCAAAATAAATAAAATTCGCATTAATGAATTTTGCAGGTGGGTGGGCGGTTGGTCGGCCAGGCAAGCAGCCAGGCAGGCAGGCAGCCAAGCAGGGCACAAGACACACTCTGCCTGGTTCGCTGGCCGGCTATCTAGTCTGGCTTCTCTACCTTGTGCGGCTGGTCTTCCTGGCCGGTTGGCCGGCGACCTGGTTTAATTGCTGTCAGGTCTGGCTGCATTGCCTGTCCGGCTGGTCGGCTGCCTAGTCTGGCTGCCCTGTCTGACCGGCTACTTGCTTTAGCTGCTCTGGCTGTTCAGCCTGGCCGCTGCCTCTTGTGCCCGGTCTGCCTGGCCGGCTGGTCGGCTACCTGTTCGGCCGTCTGGTCTGCTTGAGCGGCTGAATGGTCTGCCTGGTCTGCCTGGACGGTTAGCTGGTCTGTCTGGTCTGGCTCATGATACAAGAAAACATGTATCATGGTCTGGCTGATCTGCCTGGGCGGCTGGCCGTCAGACCTAATGTGACTCGATCTTGTGTGGCAATTAGTAACTTTTATGAAATAGAAATATATCTGTGTTCTTGTTATGTCTTTTTGACAGCAGGTATTTTTTGCTTCCAGTATGGCGATCCTGTTACTGTCATTGTGTCATTTGCCTGTCAGTTGCTTTGCTGTTTCTAACATATCTTTCACGACTGTTTGCCTTGCCGGTTCCCGGTGACACTTTCTTGTTGTATAGGGCTGGAGTCATTTTTTGGACTGGAATAGTGTTCTTTTCGGTCCGTTGACTCGATAAATCTAGTACAGTCCGTCGTAACCTCAAATCTTAAACACATCAAACTTTCTTTGGCAGTTCCTACATTTAATAGCAAAAATTACTAGTCTCGCGCTATCTTTGTCTAGCACATAGGTTAGGTTCCTCTCTGTCGACCGCCGACCACAGGCAACTTGCCGTACTTTCTAAAAGTAATAATAGATCTAGTGACTTTAGTCTGACCGGCTGCCTAGTCTACCTGCTCCTGCCTTGTCTGCCTGGCCGGCTAGTCGGCGGCCAAGGTTAATTTATAAAGTGCTTTGCTGCCCCTCACCCCTGTAAACCGAATTGCCTAAATGCTCGCTTATACTCCAACCTTCTCCTTTATAAATTAACCTTGGTCGGCGGCTTGGTCTTTCTGGTCCTGCAAGGTCTCCCTGGCCAGCTGGTCAACGTGGTCTAGCTTGTCTATCTCGACGGCTGGCCAGCTGCCTGGTCCTGCTGCTTTGCCTGGACGACTGGCCGGCTGCCTTGTCTGGCTGCTCTGCCTTGTATGGCTGCTCTGCCTGCTCTTGCTAAGAAAATTTCACTGAAATTGCGTTTTTGATGTCCACGATCGAGAAAACCTGTGTTTATAAATCTTCCACAAAATTTTTAAATTGTGCTCTTAACGGGTATAGGACGATGTGGGCACGCGGCAGCAAAATTTTGCGCAATTTCTCTGTTGTCGATAAGCCTTTAATGTATCCATCAGTGAGCATTTCCACTTTTTCTTTAATTGTGTACTGCGGCATATTGACGAAATTCAGTCACTAAAAACCAGTAATCGAACGAGTAATCAAATTTTAGAAACGTCAGGTAAATGTCTGTTTCTACATGGCTGCCTGCAATATATTTTTTTTTTAAGAAATATCCTTTAATTTAAAGCGTGACCTTTAATAAAATCGACAAAAGATGACTCAAATTACATTCATGGGAATCCCTATGGCCAATTTTAAAAAAGACGCACTGTATTTTTTTAATAAAAACTGCAGTCTAGATATGAATATAAATATGTAGATGTTAGGACTCAAGTTTGTTAGCTTGAAAAATATTTTTTTAACGCGACACATATCTCGTATTTTTAAAATGCAATTCCTGAAACCGAAATATTGTTTCCTAAGTATGTAAGATAAGACAAAAATAGAATGAAAATCCACATAGATTTGTCACTTCTCCCTTCAGTTTTGACATTTAAATGCTTTAAAGAGTTCAAAATTTTGAAAAATCAAGTGTGTACGTATTAGAATTAGGTACTGCGAATCCACTTTGTTTGGTTTGCGACTTTATGTGCACTCCACAACTTAGTTATAACTTTGTAAAATCCATTTATAATACACATTCACACTCATTGGAACATATCCCCTCATTTTTTCGCTCTTTGTGCCTAGGCGGGTTTTTTTTTATTAACTTTTAATTAATTAATTTAAAAATGAAATAGGGCAGAGGCTGGCGCCTATAAATCGGGTTCTCGTATCCTACAAATGCAAATATTCATTATTACTCATATTTTAGATGTTAATTATTAATTTTTTAATTCACTTTTAACAATTTTTTTAATTTTTAAAAGTCAGCGGTATTGCATCGCTAAAAAATGGCTGTGCGCTTGGTACTGGTAACATTCGCGACCGCCAACCACGGCTCACAACTGGCGTTTGGAAAGCAACTGTCAAATGTCAATTTCCAACTTGAGGAACTTTTAGGCAGTCATAAATATTTTTAAAAAGTAAATATTATTGTGCCAAGAGATTTTTGTCAGTTTATCAAACTTTTAAAATGTCGTCGCCAGCCCCGAAGTCACCGGAACAAAGTGAGAAAAGCAAGAAATACGACCGGCAGTTGAGGTTAACATAACGAATTTATTTTTGATATGTTTTTGATAGTTTATTTTAGACTGTGGGGTGATCATGGCCAAAAAGTTCTTGAAAATGCGAAAATTTGTCTAATAAATGCAACCGCTTTGGGTACAGAAATTTTGAAAAGCTTGGCCTTGCCAGGCATTGGTTCTTTTACTATTGTGGATGGAGAAAAAATTACAGATGAAGATATTGGCACAAAGTAATTGAGGCGGAAATTTTCAACACACTTCATAAATTTACAAATTTGTTGTAGTTTTTTCATTGAAAGTGACTCTATTGGTGCATCTAGAGCCCAAGTGACAACACAAAATTTGTTGGAACTAAATCCAGATGTACGAGGTGATTACATCGATGAAACTGTAGATCACGTTTTAGCTCATAGCCAGGACTTTTTTGATACATTTTCTGTAGTAATAGCGACGTCTTTGCCAGAAAAGTTGCTTATCTAGCTACACATTAATAATTATTAATAATACATTTTTTTTAGAGTTTTGATGCCACTGTCAAGACATTTGTGGGAGAAAAATGTACCTTTGATAGTATGTCGCAGTGTGGGATTTTTAGGCTACATACGATGTCAAATTAAAGAACACACAATAATTGAAGCACACCCTGACAATGAAAATGCGGATTTGCGATTAGATAATCCTTGGCCAGCACTACAAGAACATTTAGAAAAATTTGATATACCAAAATTAGACAACAAAGAACGCAGTCATGTTCCAGCAGTCATAATTCTGTATTACTACTTAAACCAATTTAAAGCTGAACATGGTCATTTACCAAAAACTCGAGCAGAAAAGGAAGAAATAAAAAGAAAAATCATAGAAAGTCCACATCCAGATGAACATGGAATAAAACATCTAGAAGAAAACTTTAAAGAAGCAATTCGCTACATAAACACTTGTGTCAATCCTGTGAAAATACCATCCAACGTTCAGGCAATTCTCAATGATGATAGTTGCATTAATCTACATCAAACTAGTTCTTCATTTTGGGTGTTGTGTGCTGCACTTAAAGAATTTGTTGAATCTGAAAATTCCCTTCCTCTTAAGGGCAGCTTACCAGACATGGCTGCAGATACAAATAGTTATGTAGCTCTACAACAACTTTATCAAAAACAGGCCCAAAACCAAAGTGAAATAATTTACAGGAGAGCTTTAGAAATTGCAAGAACATTGGGTTTGTCTCAGGAATCAATTACCGAAACTGAAGTAAGTAACAACTGATATTTTAAAATCAAACATAATTTTCATATTTTTAGGCTAAATTGTTCTGTAAATATGCAAGTCAACTGAATGTAATTCGTGGTAGTTGCATTGCAGACGAATATCAAAAAACTGGTTTAGATTTTACGTCATACCTTGAAGACCCTGATAGTTTGCTGTTTCACTATATTACACTCCGTGGCCTGGAACGTTTCATTAGTGAATTTAACAGCTATCCTGGTCAACTGGATGACCACGTAGAGCCTGATTTGCTGAAACTAAAAAGTATTATTGGAAAATTATTAGCAGAATGGGGTTGTTCACAAATAATTCGAGATGAAAGAGTTCATGAAGTCTGCAGATACGGTGGCGCAGAATTGCATTCAATCTCTGCAATTTTAGGTGGGTGTGCAGCACAAGAAGCTATTAAACTGATTACGTCGCAGTATAAGCCTTTAAATAACACATTTATTTATGATGGTATCACATCTACCTCTGCTTCTTTTACGCTTTAGTTAATTACAAAGTTGTTTTGTTAATTAGATAAGAATAAATTTTTTGAACTTTTTTGTTTTATTTTGAGTTGAAGGTGATTTAAATTTTATGACAACTGTTATCTACGAATTTGACATTTTTGCTGATCTGTAGTTTTGGTGGTTGTCAGCGAGGTGTTATTATCACCCACTGGTGGTTTGTGTGCATTAAAGTTAATTTGTACAGATGACAAACATTGAGAACTGGAGATTTTCAAATTAAATTTACCTCCTCTTTAAGGTCCAATCATATCTCTTGTAGGTGTGATTACGCCATCACGTGATTATCACAGCTGGCAATGACAAGTTGTGGTGACATGTGACATTGACATTTTATCAAAAGTAAACTAGGTAGGGTCATGTTTTTTCATTTTCGTATTTTAATGACCTAATCTGTGTAATTTATGTTAAAAGATAATGTAAACTATGTGTGAGGTAGGGGAACCTAGTCGAATTTTAGCTTCTACGCCATCCTCAAGTACGTCAGGTTGTTTGTCTAACGATGAAAGTGCAGAAGACCACCTTTTGCCGTCGAGTTTGGCAGCCGAAGAATTACAGTTGGCCTTAAATAAGGTACAAACTACTATATACATTTTTAAACATTGCTAATAATAATATTTAGGAAGCAACAGAAGATGAGTTGCTTAAAGCTATCAGTCGTTGTAAAGACTTGGTCCTAGAAAGCAATCAGTGTTCACTTGAACGCAAATGGCTTGTTAGACATCTTATTGAACTGCGTCTACGTTTGCAAGAATGTAGGGAGGCAATGGTGGACCCTCAGTAAGGTTGCTATGAACATAAAGGAGTGTGTTTCTCATTGCTTGTTTCAGGCATCCCAGAAATAAGAGCAGTGGTGTGTCTAAAAGAACTGTAAGAGGGCATCATTTAAATTTGCAACCGTTATTAAGAAGCACCTCTTCCAAGTACTGTGATCATTGCACAGGCACGATTTGGTAAAACATTTGTAAGATAAATTTGTGTGCTGATCTGCATTTAAAATATTTGTAGGAGTGTAGTGCAAGCTTGGTATGAATGTGAGGACTGTGGTTATTCATGTCATCACAAATGTATTTCTCAAATTATAAGAGAATGTGCACATGTTGTTGCAAGTGAACGTGGAAGTTATGAACTGGAAATTTGCCCAGAAGAAGGTCTATCAGCACAGAAGTATTTGTGTGCTGAGTGTCGCTCACCTTTACCAATAAGTAAGTATTTGGTGGAATGGTTTAATGAATAGAGCTAATAACACATTAAGCTTTGGCACATTAAGTAAGTTATTGAAGGTTTTAACTACTTTTATTAAGATTTACTTAATGTGCTCAAAATTTATTGTCATTTTTAATTAATGGTGTGTGTAGCTGCTCCAAAAGGGATAAGCTGTCTTGGTAGATTGCTATTTCCAGGTAAAGTTACGTACTAATTGCAATTTTGTGCTAATACATAGAATATAGTTACCAGTAGTTACCTGCTTGATGTAGTATACTACTAATAATAGGCATTAAAAAGTTAACTGTGCTTATGCTACCATTGTCATGCTAACACAATTATTTTACATTATTTCAAAAATTATGTATTAAAAACTTACTGCATGGACCCAGTGATACAAGAGGTATGGATACCTAAATTTGGTGTTAACCTTAGAAGTTATTTTATTTCTTTTTATAGCTGTGCATGTTTTATGTTATATAGACATGTGTGTTTGTTGTTACCCAAATGAGACCGTTTGCAAAAGAAATTTTGTAATTTAAAATACTAATAATAGATAATATTTAAGCGCAGTAAATATTAAACATTGCATATTGAAAAAAATTTTATTTCAATACTTCCCATCATTTTACGGCAACTTTTAGCACAAATTTGTTTGAATGCAATCACTATTTGCTATTATTTTTACACTATCCTTCTAAAGGAATAGCTGTATAAGGTAAGTCCTGTAACTGGGGTTTTCTGCTGAATGTTCAGAATTATTTTTATGTTTGCGAAAAATTTGAGCAGGGTCTTCCTGACATGAAAATTGTTTTGCCCAAAAATGTAGTTTGGCTTATTAAAAAATACTGGGAGGTGTTTTAGAGTTTTTTCACAAGATTCGACAATACGATTCCGTAATTCGTTTACACTTTCAATAGATGTTATCTAAGGTAGTGTCACTGGAAGACATGGAAATGATAGAAGCATATGTATTACAATTGACAATGGTATTTTCAACAATTATTATAAGTTTAATTTATTTTAAATTGTTGCTCTTGTAAAACAGTCTTAATTTATTGTTAAACAATCTGTAATCTTAAAACTGCATTTTTGGACGATGTTAATATGAACCTTTTTTCTATTTTCACATCAGGAAACTGCTTAAGTTTTTCCACATATTAAGAAAAAGCCTGTGTAGTTTTATGCTCATTAATACGAAAACACAGATTTATTGTTTTTCTAGTCTTTAGAGTGATTTGGGTCTTCACCTGCTGGAAATTTATTGTACGTACAGTTTTTGAAAATACTTACTGTTTAATCTGAAGATTTTTAGTAACTTTAAAATTGTTTTAAAGATTATCAAACACTAAATAACATTTATGTCCTAGATAAAATTCCGCGGCCCAATATTTTGAGAACGAATAGAGATATTGAAATTCTGAAAACGCAATTTTTACTTCCGCAGCGTAAGCTAAGGAAGTTTAGTAATCGAGTCGATCGGACCAATGACCACTTTTATATTTTATCCACGTTTTCGTTTGTCTGTCTGTCTGTCTGGTGTCTGTATCCATTTTTATTAGACACGTAATCTCAGAAATTGCTGGACCGATTGTTGTCAAATCTTCTATGTATATTATAAATATCATGTAGATGGTTAAATGCTAACCAAAACTTTGATAATCATCCCCACCAACAATTTGATGACGTCATTTGAAAGAATTCTATGTTTATTTGATTTAACTATTATACAACAATATAATCCTATAAGTGTGGTGTACGAATCCGCTTTGAGTTTTACCCTAACTGTCCAAATTTTTGCAAAAACATAATACACGTTATAACTGTGTAGCATTAGTGTAAGGCATCTCGGTCGTGGTCTAGTGGTTACGAGTCAGGAATGCGAACCGGACGTCACGCGTTCGTTTCCGAACTTGGGTTTTCGTTTTTTCTTTTCTTACCTCTTTTTCTCCTGCATTGTGTATTAATTAAGTTTATGACATCATAACAGATTTTTTATTGATGAAATTACCACACTTTCTCGAAAAGGTGAGAATACGCACCTTTTTATTTTAAAAATGTAAAACCTTCTCGGGAACGCCAAATGTCTTTTTTTAAGAATGTGAAACCTTCTCGGGAACGCCAAAAGTCTTTTTTTTTAATGTGAAACCTTCTCGGGGCTCCCTATTGTCTTTTTAAAAAATGTAAAACCTTCTCGGAAGCCCCAAATGTCTTTTTTAAATGGCAAACCTTCTCGGGGGTCCCAAATGTCTGTCTCTTTTAAAAATGTGAAACCCTCTCGGGGGCGCCAAATGTCTTTTTTTAAGAATATGAAACCTTCTCGGGGGTTCCAACTGTCTTTTTTGAAGACCTTTTCGAGGGGCGCCAAAGGTCTTTTTTTTAAGTGTGAAACCTTCTCGGGGATCCCTATTATCTTTTTTAAAAATGTAAATCCTTCTCGGGGTCCCAACTATCTTTTTTAAAAATATAAAACCTTCTCGAGGGTCCCAAGTGTCTTTTTTTAATGTGAAACTTTCTCGGGGGTCCCAATTGTTTCTTTTAAAAAATGTGAAACCTGCTCGGGGCCAGCAAATGTCTTTTTTTAAGAATGTGAAACCTTCTCGGGGGCACCAAGTGTCTTTTTAAGAATATTAAATCGTGTCGGGGCTCCCAACTGTCTTTTTTTAAGAAGGTGAAACCTTCTTTTTTTTCTGTTACACTGTGACTAGTACCTTCTATAGTGTTTTTACTCCATAGAGGTTATCACGAAAAAGTAAAATTCCGCAAAATCAAATTTTATATTTTTTCAGAAAAACAGTATTTGTTGGACTGTACGTCAGAAGCGAGGGAAGTTCTGTCGAAATAACTTTCCACCAATTTTTTTAGTTTGAAGGGAGAAGCTTAATTTAGTATATTGTATATTTTTTTAAAAACGAAATTAAATATTTAATTCTCGATTAATTTAACAGAGGATTAAAATGTAGAATATGAGCCCGTGATTGGTTAAAACATGCATGTTGTATAGCAACGGACTTTAGTGACAAGTTAATCGCCAATTAATTTTTAATTCGCTTTCTATAAGCCGGGTCTAAGTGTTTTCTATCATTGTAAACGCAATTTAATGGTGTATCAAAATCCGTTAAAAAATATAACTGTATTCCATTTTAAAATTATATAGGTTTGTCATATTTGTAATTTACTAAATTAAGCCTCCCTTCAAGCTAAAAACAATGGCGTCTACAGAATTTCAATATCTCTATCCGTTTTCAGGATAGATATATAACTTATATCATCTCATCTTGTGAAGTAAATGTGACTTATTTGAATGTACGCCGCACATAACTATTATGTTGCATTATTTACGGTTTAATCATTTTTATTTTTTAAATTTACACAAGGCTGTTCAACAGTAACAATCCAATAATAAATTTGGGCAAATTTTACAAATCATAGTAGAGACTAGAGACTACATAATAGATTTATTTCAATATTGTAGTATAATAATATTTTGGGATTACGAAATCTTAATTCGTCACTTAAGTTACAACGAAAAGCAAGATACAAAAGTTAATATATTGTGCATTGGTGGTTCCACTTGTTGATAAACAGGTTACTTATGTTAACAGAGTCTTGATTTGTTAGACAGATTTTTTTGTAGATGGGATGATTTTTATTGATGCATTCAGGATCATTTCTGTTTGTATTAATAAACTTCACTACAGTTGATAGTGTGATATGAGGGTTAAAACGTCACTAATATTGTCATGAAGTTATTAGTGTAAGGATTTACTGCAGTTGAATTTAAGCGATTTTTTTTATATTAATGAACTGCAGCAATTTTTAAAACAAACTCAAACTCAAAATTGTGCAAACAATGTTTACATTTTTTTATGTATAAAAATACAGATTATTCTGAAATTTTGCATGTTAAATCGCTGGTCACAATTTATTTACTTGTTCATTCCTTCCAAAAACTTTTAAACCAAATGAGTTTCTGTATCCGTTGTTACAGCCAAATTTTTTGCAAACATTAATTCGTGTATTTCCACTTGTTCCATTTGCCTGTAACCTATTTTTAGAATTTTCATATTTTATTTTACGTTTTTTAGTGCTTCATCTGGCACTATTGAGACTAGAAGAAGGCTTAGCACATGTCCCTTCTTTATTTCTTCAATCTTAATCCTTATTTATCATTATGTTTATACGTTGATTTTCTAACTTCAAAAGTCGTTTTGTCTATGAAAACATCTTTTTAACACTTTTTAGATGTCTGCTCTTGGTATCTTACTGGATGCTCTTTCCAGGTCTTTAAAGCAGGTTTCTCTGTTTTTATTAACAGGTTCTTCTCCAGCTTGTCTGATTGTAAATATTAAATTAACCCATATTGGATTTCATCTAGTGCATTTTTTATTCCTTTTCTTGGATTATGATTAGTGTTGTATTGTACATAATAAAGTTAATATGTTCTTTTTCACGAAAAATTTGTTGACGTTATCCAAAACAATTAAGGTATTCTTTGATAATCGTAGACTGAGATGCATAGATTATTCGTTGTGCTTCATCATAGGTCTGGAAAGTTTGATAATTTTCTTTTAATATTTGTCGTATATATATTTTTACTAATAAAATATGTTCATACAATGTCTAGGCCATTTCTATTTGTCCACTCCCCAGAATAAATTTTGAAAATTCGTCAAGTGTAAGGGTTTTTTTTTACTTTCTTAGAAAAAATGAGGGAAAACTTGATGAACTTACACGTTTTGTTTGTGTTTTAATTGGCTAAGAACTTGGACCTAATTTGAAGGCAGTTATGCGTAAAATGAAATTTTCTATTTTTTGCAATAAAGCGCAGCTATTCAAAGTAACCCACTTAATTTTGATTAATTTAATAATTAAGTCTCGTCATTGTCAACTGTAATGAACAAAAAACCCTTTATAGAACAATGCAACTAACCTTACTTTTTATCAAGTGGACAGATAGAAGTCACGTGGACTTTACGTACGTACTGTAAATATATATACAAGTATATGTAATATACTGGGCGATTGACAGCATTGCTGCATAATTTTAATGACGAATTATACAGCAAAAGATAAGTAAATTATTTTATAAAGCATAGTTCATTCTTTACAACACTGCTAACGCAAGTCTAAAAATTTCGTGAATGACTAAAATTACTTTCCACCCCGGTCAGTTATTAGAAAATAAATACGTATCTAGTTTTTGGTAACAAAATTAACGATGGTGGAGCGTAGTTTCGGTAATAGTTTTGCTTTTTACTTATTTTTGCCATATAACCGTTAACTTATTAAATTATACAGTAGTGCCCTGAGTCACCCTGTACAATTAAAAACTGTAAAAATAATAATTGGGAAGTTTGGAATTTATTAGATAAAGACTGGAGTGAAGCTCGCCGATGCGATTATTCAGGCCTCTACTACTGCACAGCCTGCCATTGGGGTAGTTCGGCCGTCGTTCCTGCTCGAGTGGTGCACAACTGGGATCTTTCTCCTCAACCTGTGTGTCAAGCCAGCTTACAACAGCTTCGTGTGACAGCAAATCGCCCATTATTAAATCTAGAAGAGTTAAATCCTCGTTTGTTTTCATTTGTCCATGAATTGAGTTTGGTTCGGCGATTAAGGCAAGAATTGCACGGAATGAGGAAATATTTATCGGTCTGTCGTAACGCCACTGAAGATCATCTGTTATGGAAACATGTGGATGTCCCGCACTTGGTGGAAACCCCAGAACTGTATAGTCTTCAAGATTTGGTTGATACCCATTCTGGAGAATTGCCGAGTAAACTTCACACCGTTATTGATGTGTTTACTAAACATATTAAAGTAAGGTGTGAGGTATGTCGCGGAAGAGGGCATATTTGTGAAATATGTTCAAACGATGAGGTTCTGTTTCCTTTTGATGCTGCAGCTGTGATTTGTAAAGATTGTAATGCCGTTTTGCATAAGAGTTGTTTTAATAGAAAAAATAATAACTGTCCAAAATGTATTCGAATAGAGCGGCGAAAGGAACAAGAGCAAGTTGAAGACGGACAGACTGAAGCTTGACTGTGATAGGGATAGTGCATTATAATCAGACGTTATATTTGATTTGTTGTAGGTAATAGGTATGTCATGGTACCTATGCTACCTAAGTATCTAATAATTTATTTGAATGTTTTGGCTTAGTATTTTTCTAACTTAAATTATTTACATTTTAAATTATTTGTTATATATATTAAATAAACCTTTTTCTAATATTTGTGGACTATTTTTTTGCCTAAAACATCGTAGGTACTTATTATTTCATTGACTACTTTTACATGTCCGTTGAAAATTTAAAAATATATTCCAGATGGAATGCCACCTTTTTGATTAGTTACTTAGGGTGGGAATGTGCAGCAGGTAAAAAAAAATGGGCGCACGTGATCCACTTACTTGTTTTTTTTGGGTTAGTGAAAACCACGGGTTTGTAAATAGGGAGAGATACGCAAATTTTTGTAATGTTACAAAAGGGCAGTTGTTTAAACAAAAATAAATCGCATTCGATGCCACTGACCCCTCATCAAGAGGTCAATTAGTGGAAGACCATTCAATTAGCGATTTTTTAATCTGAAAGGTTGTGAAATTTTGACGAATTCGTCAACTCGTTTTGTTTTTGTTTTATTGTATGTAAATTGACAGTTCATGTTAAGATTTTTAACTGTCCATGGTTCTGATATAATTTAACTACAATAATGGAACATTTCTCGAAAAATCCGTACAAATTTATTTGTTCAGGCTGAACTTACATTTAACAACGATATTTACGGTTCTGGATGTGTGATTTAATGTATGTGTTATGTAGATACTACATTTCATAACTTCTGACTCGAGGTGTGTAATAGTTCCTTTATGACATTTAAACTAGCCTTTAACATCGATCCATTTTGAAAGAAATCACCTTGAAAATTATCTGTTAAATTAATATCATCGTTCCTGCAGGTTTAATTATTTTTTACAGCTTGAATTTGAAGATTTGACGAAGAAATGATACTATGGTGTGATAACCCAAACATTCCGCCAAAAATTTCAAAAGTGGCCATGAACGGTGATCGTCAACAAGATGGGACCCTACGTTGTGTTTTGAAGTGGCGGAATGCGTTCTAATGCACGTAGTGGATCGCAAAGGTGGAAAAGTGACCTTGAATTTATGACACAAAAATTTGCCGTGAATAATTTTGTTAATTTTTTTCAAAAGATTGTATTTTCTCAATTATCAAATTTACCCGTTCTTTTGAAACGCAAGGTTACAAATTATTTCAATCACATATAAACACAGTTTGTTAAATGTACACGATTTTCTAGTTTGCAACATTTTATCTAAAGTGAATAAATGGCAATGCACATATGGTAGCGTGTTGACAGACTTTTTCTGTATTTTTTTTTGGCAATCGGAGGAAAAAAGAACATCATTTCAACAATTAAAGAAACGTGGAATGAGTAGCGCTAAGGGTTCTAGACTCTTCACTGTACAACCATGCCGCGGTGCCCGCGTCAGCTACTTCAAGTTTTATTTCGCAACTATACTCCATCTTCCGCGTGACAAACAGAGCTGATTCTCCCCCAGCAGAGTTTCCTCTACCAGCAGGACACCTTCCGAATTCCCTACGATGGTGGAATTCGGTATTGCGAATAAACACTAATCTGAATGCAAGAAAAATTATCACTCCGACCTCCGCTCTTGTCACCCAGATTTAATAAAGCAAAATTAATGAATTAAGACTACGTGGTGAATCGAATTCCCCATCACATACATACTTGTACATAAACACATGTTAACTATGGTCAAAAACACAAAATATCGTTCGGTACGCACGTCGCTTTGAGAGGCGCGTCCGAGTAAAAACGTTCCAAAGTTGGAGGCGTAGAACACATAAAACATAACACAAAATCAGCATAAAATTCCCTTTCCCCCTTCGAATCCACGACGGCATTTACTTCAGTGCTAATTTTTAAAGTATCAGTGCTTAAAATTAAATCGTGAAAACTGCCATTTATTTACTACTTTAACAGAATCTATCCAATTTAAATAATATTTAAGTTAGAAAAAAAACATTCATCCCCTTAGACATTTCATAATAATTAAATATTACCTATTTTACTTGAATGAAGTTGCTTATTTTTTTCGTGTCATACAAGAAGAATAAAATTTATAATTTAGAGAGATGCGTGGAACAAAATAAGAATTTTATTGACTGTTAAACTATGTTAGAAACAGGACTGTTAAAAATCCTAACATTAACGGTGAATTTACAATCAATCAACAAATTTACACCACGTATTTACAACATCAAAAATTCACATTTCCGATATTAATATTGTTGCAATATGTCAGAATTAGATACGCTCTGGCCCAGTACCGGTGCGACACTTGTGTGGTTGAAAGTCTGGACCCTTTTGTCTTTGTCGGCGTTTCACGGTAAATCGACGTCCAGATGTCGAGACCTTTTTTACTAAGTTAGTTTTCACATATTGTACATATCTAAGTCAGTTAATAAATACCTTCGCTAGTGTTAACATCGTTGGCCTTTTATTTTTCGCACTTTAAATACGCACATAAATTAACAGGTTATGGGCCCAGATTACGTATCGAGTATTGTGCAATTAGTATTTTGAAAAAGTGCAATTAGTGGAATATCAGCGATTAGTTCCTATTCGAAGTTGTGATTTGTAGTTAGTCAGTGTTCAAGTTCGGTTTCGCGGCCAATAGTAGCAGACACATCGAAAATGGATAAGTTCGCGATAGCTAAGTTTAACGGCAACGATTTTGCAGTATGGAAGTTTCAAATGCGCGCCTATCTGCGGTATCACGAATTGTTAGACGTTGTCGAAGGTATGAAAGCTCGCCCTGATTCGGGAGGTACGTCCAAGGAACAAGAAGACTGGGACAGAAAAGACGAGAAAGCTCAATTTGCGTTATCGTGCGCTCTAGAGACGAATGTTGTGCGTCATATAATGAATATGAAGACTGCAGCTGAAATGTGGACACGACTGGTGACTATTTACGAACAAAAGAACAAAACGTCGATTCATATTTTACACCAAAAATTTTATAATTATCAAATGCGACCAGGCGCAACAATTACTGAACATGTTGCTGCTATCGAAGAGCTGGTGAGACAGCTTGAAGATCTGAATCAGAAACCCACCGATGAACAAATAATCACGAAAGTACTGTACACACTACCACAACAGTATCAGCATATAGCAGCGGCTTTTGATATGCTTCCAGAAAAAGAGCAAACCATGGTCAACCTTCTTCCTCGGTTATTAAAGCTGGAAACAATGAGAAATGGAATGGCGGAGATTAAAAACGACGAAGAAGCGAACTCAGCCCTTTACACAAGCAACGGCAATCGGGGACAACGCCAAAATCATCAAAGAAATAGAGGTGGTCGTTATCAAAATCAGCAGCGACAGCAATTTACAAAACAGCGATTTAGTGGGAAGTGTTATAATTGCGGTAAGACGGGACATAGAAAGATCGACTGCTACAAACCCCAAAACACTCAAAACAATGGCCAAGCGAATGCAGCATCAAACAGCGGCGCATCGAGTGCAATGATGTATACAGCCGAAACGATGGCTGTCGGTTACGCGGGCGAATTATGGGTCGCGGATTCTGGTGCGAGTAAACACATGACTTTTCGGCGCGACATTATTACAAATTATAGGGAGTTTAGTGCAAGTGAGAGAAAACCGATCACAGTGGGCAACAATGAAACTATTTACGCGGAAGGTGAAGGAGATGTAATGATTACTTCGTACGTTAATGGACAAGTACTGGAGCAAGGCATGAGTGAAGTGTGGTACGTGCCTGAAATTGGGAAAAATCTATTCTCAATAAGTGCAGCTAGTAATCATGGTGTTAACGCATTATTCAGCAAACACACGTTACAATTGTTTAGTCGTGGCAAAGTGGTAGCCACCGGACAATTGGCTAAAAACGGTTTATTCGAAATGAATATTCGCGCGCGGGCAACGGCAGAGGCTATGATCGCAAGTGCAAGTGCTCAAAACGTTCGAGTGTGGCATGAACGGCTTGGACATGTTGCATTTAAAGTGGTTCGCGAAATGGCCAAAAGTGACGCGATAACTGGCATGAAAGTTGTGGACTCGAAAGATAGTGCGGACAATGAGGACACATTTTGTGAAGACTGTGTATACGGCAAGCACGTGCGACAACCGTTCCCGTCCTCAAATTCGCGGGCTGAACGGCCAGGAGATCTAATGCATTTTGACACGATCGGACCATTGAATGAATCGTTAGGTGGTTCGCGGTTCGCAGCTGTATTTACAGATGATTGCAGTGGTACGATCATCGCAGTTCCAATGAAAACAAAGTCCGACGTCGTCGACGCGATGATTAGTGTAATAGCTGATGCAGAAGCAAATGGACACAAAATAAAACGCGTGCGATCGGACAATGGGGGTGAATTTTTGGGCAGTGAAATGAAGGCGGTGTTAACCAAGAAATTTATTAAACAAGAACTGACCACACCGTACTGTCCACAACAGAATGGGCGGGCCGAACGATCTAACAGGACATTAAATGAAATGGTGCGGTGTCAACTTGCAAGCGGAAATCTGCCCCAAGGACTATGGGCGGAAATGATTAGAAACGGGGCTCACATTAGAAATAGAATACCACGTGCCCGTCTCGAAGGAAAAACCCCCTACGAACTCTGGACCGGTCGAAAGCCTGATTTGAGTCATTTGCGTAAAATTGGTAGTACTGCATATGCATTGATTGACGAGTCGAAATGGAGCAAATTTGAAAAGAAGAGCGAACGGCTCATCTTAGTTGGATATGAATTTGAGCAACACGCATATCGACTTTGGCGGCCAGGTACAAAAGTAATTATTAAGAGTCGTGACGTAAAAATTGTCGAATTACCACCAAAAAGACCGCTTCAATTGTTACCTGAAATCGCTACAAATGAAGAACAATCAATACCAACACGAGCGGCGTACTCGAAACGCGTGGTACCTTCAGATGAAAACTCCATCGTAAACAACACCCGATCTAAGACGAAGAAAAGGATGGAAGAAAAAGATGAAATGACCGAAGTTCAATTTGCAGCCCTCCTGACTGAAGGTGAGAAAATAGTGACTAAAACACCTGAAACTCTCGCAGAAGGGTTAGCCACGAATGATTCGAAACAGTGGGAGCTTGCAATGGCTGATGAATTGGAGTCTTTAGCCAAAAATGAAGTTT